AAAGAACACCCACTGCTGGGCCTCCCCAGTGGCGCAGCGATTGAGCGTTGGGTTGCAAAGCTGCCCGCAGCCTCTGTAGCGCCGGTTCGATCCCCGGCCACTGGCGAGGGTCCCACATGGCGCGCAGACCTCTCCTGCCGCCCGCTGCTCCCCTCAGCAGTGTACTTCGGTCCGTCTGCCTGCTCTGCTCCCCGCTCTGGCTCTGGTGAATTCTCTCACCCTCTCACGCTTCTGATTGTACCCAGTGCTTGTATAAATAAATAAATAAAGGTAAGGTAATACTGCCAAGGTAATCATGAGAATTAAATGTGAGAATGCTTGTAAAAGCACTTGTCTCAGACTACAACTCAAAACAAGTGGGCAAAATCCTTTCTTTACCATTTAAAATTAGTTACTTCTCCCTACCCCATCCCCAAGCAATGAGCAACAATCCAGAAGAATATAACTTCAGGCAACTTATCCTCAGTACTTTATCTTAGAGCTGTCTAGCATGTCAACACAGGTCAGCCAACACCATATTGACCGGAGAAGATATAATTCTTTCATTTCCCCTAGAATTAAAATTAGTGTTTGTACCACTCCAGATTTTAGTCTACAAGTTAAAGAACCAGTGTGCTTAAGGATTAATGTCATGTGTCAAAAAACTACAGAATTTCTATTATTTACTCCTTCACCATTAATTTCCTTAGGGTGTCAAACTATCTGATACATTTGCTGTTTTGTACAATGTTATGCATTGTGGGTTTGCTATTGTTGTTGGTTGTCAATAGCTTTGCTTATTTATTTTTTAAGGTTTATTTATTTATGCATACAAGAACTGGGGTACAGGTCAGAGGTGTGGGGGGTGAGAGGATCCACCAGAGACAGAGTGGGGTACAGAGCAGAGAGATCGACTGAAATACATTGCTGAGGGGAGCAGTGGGAGAGTCAGGAGAGGTCTGCTTCACCACGTGGGACCCTCGCCAGCCGGCCAGGATCGAACCGGCGCTGCAGAGGCTGCAGATAGTTTCACAGTGCTGTGCTTAACCCCTTGTGCCACCAGGGAGGTCCTGTCAATAGCTTTATTGAGGGACAATTTAGATACCACAGAATTCGCCTTTCTAAAGTGTACAGTTCTGAGTCTTAGTAAATCTGTAGTGTTGTGCAGTCATTATTACAATCTAGTTTTAGAGCAATTCTGTCATACACATAGCAATTGCCTAGCCCCATAATGAAAGGATTTATTGCATTATCCTATGAATTTAAACCACTGGCTCTAGGATCTAGCCTAGGCATTAATTTTGTTTTTTTTTTTTTTTTTTTTTTTTTTTATAGAGGCATGCTTTATTTATTTATTTTGTTTGTTTGTTTGTTTGTTTGTTTGTTTGTTTATATATGCACTGGGTACAGTCAGAAGCGCGGGAGGGTGAGAGAATTCACCAGAGCTAGAGCGGGGAGCAGAACAGGCAGAAGGACCGAAGTACACTGCTGAGGGGAGCAGCGGGCGGCAGGAGAGGTCTGCGCGCCATGTGGGACCCTCCTCTGGTGGCCGGGGAGCAGCCGGGGATCGAACCAGCACTGCAGAGGCTGCGGGCAGCTTCGCAACCCAACGCTCAACCGCTGCGCCACCGGGGAGGCCCCTAGGCATTAATTTTGAATAAATGAAGCTTTAAAGAAAAATCAATATACATACACTAATGTTTGTGTACATATGGAAGTGTATATATAGTTTATTATAGTTTATGCTGATATTCTGGCATCCTTTTATCCAAACTCCTATAAATATGATCAGGTGGGATTAACTGTCCATAGCCTAAACATTTTCATCTTATATACACCAAATTTATGAATGATTCTTCCTTTCTGTGATCTGGCTGTGCAAGCTTTTCATAGAGTTGGACCAGGGATACTGGTTTGGGTACTTGCAAAGGAAGAACTTCCTTAATGGAAAACATAGGAGATTCTGATTTTGTCTTATTTGTTTCAATATATTATTCAAGAATTGCTATGCCCCTCTTCCTGTAAATCCAGTATTTATGGCCTACTCTCAACACAGCAGCTATTAAATATCTGCATAAAAATCACTTAATATAAGCATTACAATCTGGGACTATTGAAAATGCCTCCTCCTATTTGTTTTTTGCTAATTTTATCTCAAAGTTGACCCATGGTGTTTCAGAGGGGTAATTTTTATGTTTAAACTAATTCTACTTTTACATCTTTAACACTTCAGTTTACCAATAACTCCACTCATCTTGACATATAAACACTACTTGATATTGTTATTTAAATGTTCAATGTGTGCTGGTTCAGCTTCCTCCAAATACGAAGTTCCTTATGGTTAGAATAGTTGTTTTGTGCATGTTTGTGCATAAATAAATGTTCTCAAGCACATACTCCACATTGGGCACAAAAAAAGCTGTTTACCAAGTTGTTTTTATTTATTTTTTAAAAAGATTTATTTATTTATGGATACAAGGACTGGGGTACAGGCTGGAGGTGTCGAGGGGTGGAGGAGAGGATTCACCAGAGACAGAATGGGGAGCAGAACAGGTGGATTGACTGAAATCCACTGCTGAGGGAGACAGGAGAGGTCACCAGGTGGGTCAGCTCCCTGGCCAGGGATCACTGGTGCTGCAGTGGCTACAGAGAGCTTCATAGTGCTGAGACTTAACCCCTTGTGCCACAAAGAAGGCCCCCAATTTTTAAATAAATGATACTTCAAGTTTGTCTCCCTGCTGGTCACCAGGGCGTTTACATTTACCATATGGCCCAGGTTTCCTGGACATTGTGCTGTTCTGCCCTAATGTCCCAATAAGTACAGGTGCACATGCTGTCCCCTATGTCTGAACATCTGGTCCTCAATAGCTGTGATAGGAAGTCATTTCTATTTCACTAAGTCTCTGATTTCTATTTCTTTTATTAACTTGATTGCGCTTTCAGCATCCCCTTTCTCTTAATTAACTCCACATTCAATTTTCACTATTACAAAAGCATCCTGGTAGAAAAAGTCTGACTATACAAAACAAAATAAAGTCCCTGTTCACTAAAGGTAATCTCCTTCCCCCGTGTGGTATCCATCTCCACATGCACAGCTCGGGACACCACACTGAGTGCCTGGAGAACTTTCTGTGCACAAAGGGGTGGCTGAGAGGTGCCTTGGGCGCCTGTCCACTGGTCGCCCACTTACTCACGACCTTGAGTGACTCAAACTTCTGAGTCTCGGGGTCGTCATAAAATGCTGCCCATCTATGGGTCTCCCTGGTGGCGCAATGGGTTAAGCACCACACTATGAAGCTATCCACAGCCTCTGCAGCATGAGTTCGATCCCTGGCTAGGGAGCTACCCACATGGCGCAGCAGACCTCTCCTGTCTTGCCTGCTGCGCCCCTCAGCAGTGTATTCTGTCAGTCTGCCTGCTCTGTTCCCCACTCTTGTCTCTAGTGAATCCTCTCACCCTCTGCACTCTGACCTATACCTCAGTTCTTGTATGCATAAATAAATAAAAATAACACAGAGACAGAAGATGAATGAATGAATCTGGCAAATGTTAATGATTAGAGACCATTGGTGTAGAGATTTCTAGCATTTCTAACATTCTTCATATGGCCCCTCTCCAATAACCTGTAAGTGTAAATCTTTCTATGCCTTTCCTCTGTATTTTCTTCTGCAAAGTACACAAGAATGAGGGGCCTCCCTGGTGGCGCAAGGGGTTAAGCACCGCACAATGAAGCAATCCACAGCCTCTGCAGCACGAGTTCGGTCCCCGGCCGGCCAGGGAGCAACCCACATGGTGCAACAGACCTCTCCTGACTTCTGGCTGCTCCCCTCAGCAGTGTTTTTCAGTGTCTGCCTGTTCTGTTCCCCGCTCTGTCACTGGTGAATTCTCTCACACACACACACACACCCCTCCCCGCATCTCTGGCCTGTACCCCAGCTCTTGTATGCATAAATAAATAAATGTTTAAAAAAAAATGCTGCCCATCTCAACAGGTTGAGAGCCAAGCAGCGAAGTCTACAAGCCACGCTAATTGAAGGTTTCCTAGTGCTGGGGAGTCTGTGGGCTAGCAATCCTGCTGGCTACTCCGCTTAGGGCCGCTGGACAGGACGCCCTCCCCAGCTCAGGGCCAACGCCCAGACCCGAAGCCCAAGCCTAGAGCCCAGGCGTGGGGCCTAGAACTTGGGGGTGGAGCTAGAGCCTGGGGGTGGAGCTTAGACCCCAGGGGTGGTACCTATAGCCCAGGGGTGGATCCTGGAGCCCAGGGGTGGAGCCTAGAGCACAGGGGTGGGGCCCAGACCCCAGAGCAAAGGGGTGGACCCTAGAGCCCGGGGGTGGAGCCTAGAGCCAGGGATGGGGCCTAGAGCACAGGGGTGGAGCTTAGAGCCAGGGGTGGGGCCTAGAGCACAGGGGTGGGACCTAGAGCCAGGGGTGGGGCCTAGAGCAAAGGGGTGGAGCCCAGAGCTCAGGGGTGGAGCCTAGAGCACAGGGGTGGGGCCTAGAGCCCGGGGGGTGCAGCCTGGACCCCAGGGATGCAGCCCCTGGAGTACGAGCCCGGAGGCGGAGCCCGGCGCCCGGTGGGGAGAGGACCGAGAAGCCCCAGGGGGCGTCCTCGGCCGAGCTCCCGCCCTCGGCTGTCGCGCACGACTCCCCGGGCCCTGCCGGTGACCCCCAGAGCCCGACGCCTCCGTCCCGCGAACTCCTCTTCCGACCCGCAACCCAAGGGCCTCCCGCCCCGGAAGTCCCGCCTCCAAACCCCTCTTTCCCGCCTCAGCCCCGCCCCGCCCGCCGGAAGTCCGGCCAGATCCCCACGCCCTCTCTCGCGCTGTCCATTTGATTTCGGCGCGCGGCAAACGGAGGGTGGCTCTGATTGGTTGGAGGTGGGCGCGCTCCCTGTGCCATTGGCTGAGAGGACCAGCCAGGCGGTGCATTTCGGGGGCGGGGCTTACGACTTCGGAAGCTGGATGATGATTGGTTTCTCGACGAGGGGGCGGAGTCAAACGCCGAAGCAGGGGCGGGGCTTGGCGGAGCAGGCGGCGGAAGCGTGATGGAGGCTGTCAGCTGCCCGCAGCACGGTGAGGGCCGCCGCCTGGGGTCCCGGGGGTCCCCGGGGGTGCGTTCATGGCGCGTGGCGTGATCTTGTCGCCCTTTTCTCCTCAGGGACCTTGTGCTTTCTGAAGACGGGCGTCCGCAGTGGCCCGAATAAAGGAAAGAGCTTCTATATCTGCCGGGCGGACGCGTGCGACTTCGTGAGGGCCGCCGAGTAGGTCTCGCGGGGCGCGGCCCCCCGGGGCAGCCTCGGGGACTGGGGGGCGGGGTCCCCTGCCCGCGGGGCCAGCGTCCTCGAGGTGGCTGGTCCTCCCGGAACAGTGTTGGGGTGTTGGGGCGACTCTGATCTCCTGTTGCCTGTGGAGCCCAGGGTGGTCACTCCCCTGTCCGGCCACCCTCCCGTTCTGGGCCGCTGGTCCCTTCCCCTGGAAATGGAGGAGCAGCTGCTTCTGAACCCCCTGGGCCTTTCCCACGTGGGGTTTGAGGTCCCCAGTCCGTCCCGGACCACACTCCTTTCTGCTGACATGTCACCCCGTCCTTTAGGAAGTGAGGGCTTACAGGCCTTGGGGAGTAATCGGTCCCTGTTTTGCACTAGTTTTAGGCTTAATCTGTTATAGGACTGCCTTTTCCCCCTAACAAACCCCCAAATTGTTGGGGGTTCAGACACTCTGGTAGATTACCAGCCCCTCCAAAAAATAACGTTTTAAATGGTGAGATTGAGAACCCAAAGAAACAAGTCCCTTTGGGATCAGTGCTGCAAGTAATGGATGTGATTCCGCTTGCTGATTTCTCAACATTGAAAGCTGAGACCCAGAAATTATCATCTTCTTTAGAGTGAGAAAAGTTAATACTACTTCTCAAAAAGTGGTACTGTTTCCCCTGGTGTCCACAGTCTCTTAAGTGAATTTTATAACTATCACATCATTGACCACTCTTCCTGGTCTCTACTGAACTTGGTGCAGAAAAGTTCTTTTCTTCCATATTATGTTAGACACATACTGGATTAATACTAGAAAATAATGGGGTTTTTTCAACACAGATATTAGCTTTTCATGTTTCCTTTTCATGATTATATTGTGCTTTAATTAAGTGAAAGATTTTTTAGATTTAGGAAATAAAGTTTTAAAACAAATACTTTCTTAGCCCACTGAGAACTTTTTTTTTTTTTTAAGGAAATTAGTGGGATCCAGTTTAATTAAATCCAAAATGACTTTGAGTAAGCAGTGTCAACCTTAAGGTGGAAGGGACCAATCAAAAAACTCGAGCTATCAACATTTCATGTCGGGATTTACTATTAATTTCTTGCTGTGGTCAACCAATGGGAAGTTCTCAGCTATTAAGAAAGACTCAGAGTCTAAATGAATTTGCAACAGCGTGGGGAGAATGCCATCGAGAGCAGCTCTGCCTTTCACTCTCCCAACCCAAGATTTTATTAAAGATATGAACAAGGAACAAGAAAAAATGTGCAATTGTGTTTATGCTACAAATTAGTAAGTTACTGCTGGAACAAGTTTTTTTAGTTAGTAGGGAACCTGTGAACAAGTCATTTCGTCCTTAGAGAACAGGAGTCAATTCTGGGAAGAAGTTCTGTTTGCTGAACTTCTAACCTCTGGGGGAACTCCTTATGCAGAGTGAACAGGTACTCCCTTTAGGGCGGCAGGCTGCCAACAATTTCTGATTTCTATACTGAGCTTCTTGGGCTCAGTATCTAGCTCAAGTTTCATTAAACATGAAAGCACTTTCAGATTTGTAGAAATTAATGGCAGCATAAGACTTGGTTTTACATTAAGGAAACATGCCCTTTTATAGAGTGCTGTTTATACAAATGTATTGCTATACAAATGAGTACAGTAATTGTTTGCTTTAAGATAGTTACTTGATAAACTAATACGGACAATGTCTGATCAAATATAAGCAAATAGAAAGCAATAATATAAGCAAAAAGAAAGAAAAAGGTGCCATAGTTTCTAGTAGAACACTAGAGCTTCATTCAATCCTATTTATTCTGAAATATTATATGTAAATACTTTAATAATGAGAAGTTGGAAGGGTTCAAAACGTACCAGCCATAAAGTAGCTGTGTAAATGACACCGACAGCTCACAGGTTATTGAAGGAAAATGATAATGGAGGAAATTCACAGACAGCCTTAGATACTTCTGTCTTCCCTGGGGCTATGACAATATAGAGTTCATGTAGCACAGTATAGTTTTAAACTTTGAGTCATCAGGAAAAAGATAAATTTATTGTCTTAATTTGGGAGTGGGAAAGATGGAACTGGACTCTTTCCCTGGAGGAATACACATAGGCATAAAAATTTGTGGGATTTACACAGCCAGCGGAGGGAATGCCAAACTCACAGTTAAAGCCTAAAGTTTGGATTTTATAGCATTTTGATGTCTGCCTCCTCAAACAAATGTTTGGTGTTTTTTTTTTCCTCTAGCATTCCTGTTTCTCATTGTTTACTGCATGAGAACTCTGTGGTAGAACTTCAAGGTCTGCTTGCACTGCAGGGCGAGAAAGAACAAAGGTAAGTATCCAAAAGGAACACTTCGTGTTGTTATTTTTTGCCCCAGAAAGGTTTCAGACAGGAATATTTTCCCAGAATTGTGTGTTCTTTAAAACCATAATTAAAATCAAACAGTATTTCTGTGTGGATTGAGTATCTTCTGGGCTGTACTGTCTGCTGGTCTGTCACTCCATAACTGGTGAGCAACTAGTTTATCTCAGAAGCTTGACCTGTGGTTAATTTCAGGATAAACCACAACTTCATCCCTCTCAAGTTCTCAAGGAGCCAATAACATAAGCCCACCAACAGTAATTAATTTGTACTAACTTGTCAATTTTCTTATTCCAGTAATGGAACAAGGTAACACGTAAAGATGTCTAACATGTTACATACTCAGTACATGTTAGTTTCCTTTTACTTTTATGGGGACTCAGAGGCAGGGCGAGGAGGTCCATATAGATGGCTGATGATATTTGTCATTAGTATGGAGAGATAAGTTGGTATTTGCTTAGAATAAGAAAGGGGTTGTATTTATCACAGATGTAATCAATGCAGATTAATACCCTACGTTAGGATACAAAGGTTTGACACAACGGAATTGTAGGTGTTGGGCACTCGGAGGAGAAGGCTGGCCAGCAAAGCAGGTGCCAGGTATGATGGTCTTTATATAATATTCCATGCAATTCAAAAGTTAGTTGATTTTTTTTTTCAAGATTTGTTTATTTATGCATATAAGAACTGGAGTAAAAGCCAGAGGTGCCAGGGTGAGAGGATTCACCAGAGACAGAGTGGGGAGCAGAACAAGTGGATCTACTGAAACACACTGCTGAGGGGAGCAGCGGGTGAGACAGGAGAGGTCTGCTGCGCCATGTGGGTTAGCTCCCTGGCCAGGAATCGAACTCGTGTTACAGTGGCTATGGCTAGCTTCAAAGTGCTGTGCTTAACCCCTTGCACCACCAGGGAAGCCCTCCAACAAACGTTTACGAAAGGGCCGTTTAACATCCAACTAGACAGTGACTGTGGCATAATACACATCTCTTTCCTCTACCCCTTCCATTTAATCTCAGAATCTTCACTTTACTATGTTTGCTGGTGTTTGTAAGATTTTACTTTGTCAAGTCACCCACTTTAGAAGTCTTCTTACTGAAGCTTTAAAAATGTTTTAGTTGAATTACTTTACATCATAAAATTAACCATTAATTTGTTGGATTAGAGTAACCGAGCTAGAAGACAGGTGCAGCAGGGTAAGGGAGAGTAGGTGTAAACCAAGGTGAGGCTCTGATGTCCATTTTCAAGTTCAGGATTGTAGCTGCATTTGCAGGCAGTTCTCTGCCTTCAACACCAGATGGCACCACTCACCTGTCATTTGGGTGATTGACATGGGTGCATTTGACTGACCCTTGAGCCAGAGCTCTCTGCAGGTGATGGAGAAGCTGAGAATCATTCAGAACCACTGGGAAGCGGCTTGCTTTGACATAGAGGATTCAGCACACCTCCCCTTATATACGTCAGTGCTTGACAGGGAGCTTCTGAGTTCATGTTCTCTCTTCTTTTTCAGCTTTGGTTCTCAAGTTAATGGAGTCAAACTAGATGGAGATTTTGTTATCTATAAATGGGTTAAAACAAGTTTTAGTTCTTTAAAGAACTAAAACTAGTCAAAATATTTTAGTAGTGGGCTAGTCAAAATATTTTATTTTTAATCACACTGAAATCTTCCCAATTCTAGCAAACCCCTTGGGTGGTTGGGTATTGGGTCAGACTGGCAGGCTGGTTATCTAGCCCAGCGATGATTCTTTAGGCTGGTGCTACAAGCCCTCGACCCCACCACCTATTTCTTAATGTGTAGCAATTCTCCTAGCTTGCGTTTTGTCTTAACCATTTAGCTTATGGTTCTTTTACCATATGGAAGTAGAAAGCTTTTTTTTGTAGTCAAATTACTAAGTCCTTTATCTCTCAGCTGCAGGATTTGATGTCCTGCATAGAAAAGCCTGCTTTATCTTAGGATTCCAAAACCATTAATCTCTTATTTTTTTCCTTCAACACTTTACAATTTTACTTAATTTACATTTATGTATTTGTTCCATCTTGAATTTTAGTGTAAAAAAATGAGGTGGAAATCCAGCTTTATGTTTTCCCAGGGCACTTAGGTTGTTTCCACAGCTTGGTTATTGTAAACAGTGCTGCAGTGAACACAGGAGTGCAGGTTTCCCTTCAAATTAGTGTTTTTGTGTCTGTGGGTGGACACCTATGAGTGGAATTGCTGCATCATATGGTAGATCTATTTATAGTATTTGGGGAAACCTCCATTATGTACATACTCTTATAGAAAAAATCTCCAAGTTACACTGTTAAGTAAAAAAAGTAGTGGTATGTATGCTAACCTCCCCGTATGTGTGGAAGAGTAAAAAATGAGGAATATATGTTCATATTGATTGGAATATGCATTAAAATCTCTGTGAAAGTAAATAAAAAACAGGTAAATAAAAAATAAGAATGGTTACTTGTTGGAAGGAGTGCGAACTGGACAGAAGGGGTGCGGTGAAGGGGTGCTTTCCATTGCCAACTCTGACTTTCAATTGCACACATTACCTACTACTACATAAAGTATGTATTTTGACAGCTCTTATTTAATGGATTAAAATTTTTAAGGGAGTCATTTTAGGTGAGGAGAAAAGTTAATGGGTTCTGTTTCACTCAGCAGTATTTGAAGATTCTGTGCAAAAGGTGAGGCACAGTTGTGAATTAAGAGAGCATACGTGATTATCACCATCCAGCTGCTGAAAATATAGTGGCAGACGGGCAGATACAAGTGTGATGTAAATAAACACAACAGAAGTCCAGAAGCAGTGGAGGGACAGGGAGGGGAATGTGGGAAATCTTGCCTCGGAAGTAGGACTGTAAGGACCCTTAGGATTCTGACTGCTAGTGATGGGGGACTTGGTGGGCAAGTGGGGCTCAAGAGGATATTTTTGGGGTGGAAGGAGGTTCACATGCCAAGTCTGGTGTGTTGGAGAGCGCATGGCTTGGTTGTGGAATGGGACAGCGACGCCACCTCTGGGGTGGGGCCTGGCTTTGCATGTCAGGGACTCTCCAGCACAGAGGTGTAACTTTGCAGTTTTTGTCGTTAGTGGGAGATCACAAATGCAGGCAAAAGGAGACAGAATCATGCAGCACATGAGCTTCAATCATCGCCCACCGATAGCTAATCTTGTTCCACACATGCTCTACCCACTCCACCCCACAACCTCTGCCATATTTTGACATGGATCCCAGATAACATTATTTCTTCTGTCAGTACTTCAGTCTGTAGTTCTAAAAGATAAGGATTTTTTTTTTTTTTAAATAACCGGTTGGAGTATAAGTTTCCAGTTACTTCTGAGATGTCATAATTTGTTTTCAAGTAGTTTGTGTTTAAATCAAGCCAAAGAAGGTCCACGAAATCCACTGACTTGACAGTGTCTTTTAAGTCTCTGAAGTTGGCCCTCCATCTTTTCTTCTCCCTTATAATTTATTTGTTGAAGGAATTAGGATATTTGTCATATAGCATTTCCCACTCTAAGGATTTTGCTTCATTTCACCCCCATGATCTAGTTCTAGGTGTTTCCCGTAAGTTGGTCATTGCATCTAGGGGTGTGACCAGATTCAGTTAGGTTTTTGCTTGTTTTGGTTCGACTGGGTTTTGTGTTTGTGCTTGTTGTATTTCACTTTATAAGGCAGTGACATGTCTTCCCATCGGGGACACAGAAGGTCCAGTCGCTCTCTCTGACTTTAGCAGCCATTGCTGATGGACATCTCCATTGTAGACACTCTTTGTAGAGTAAAAGGAATAAACCTGTGCCAGTCGTATTACTGTGACGCCTGTTCTTTAATGTCTCACCCCACAACTGTACTATGTAGTAAAGAATGTTAAAATGCCTGTTTAAGAATAATTGGTTTCGAGTAACCTTTCATAAGCAGAATCAAATAGCAGTAACATGTTTGTTTGTTTGTTTGTTTTTGATTAAAAATAAATACATCTCTTGATTTAGTGCATTTTCACAGCTTCGGTTATTTGTGTTTTCTGCTTCATCAGATTGTTCTTCCGGTGCAGTAAAAGTAAGGCAGAGGGCAAGCGGTGGTGTGGAAATATCCCGTGGCAGGTAGGATTTCTTCGTCTCTTTTCAAACCTGCGTGTTACACTGTTTAATCTGTAGCACCACCTGAAAAAACCATGAAGTCCCATGTAAAGTGGCCGGTATTCATCAGACTGTCTCTGCCAGACGGTTCTCTTCTTGTGGGGATGTCGCATCATTGAGTTATAAGCAAGATTAAAAATATTTAATTATTAATTTCACCTCACTATTTTTTGAGGTTGAAAACATAGCTAGTAGTCTCCTACGTGGGGAAAAATTTAGATTTTCATGGCCAACTTCAGCATCTTTTTATAGACTGATCTATTTAATTTTAGTATAAACTGAGTATAAATCATAATCAAGAATGTTAGAACTAGGAAAGACCTGTATGTGAGGACTGGAGCTGGAAAAATAACAAGGCTTTGTCAGTGGAGCCATCCATTGAACAATCCTGGGTTCCTCCAGTGAAAACTTCCCGAAGCCCAAATCAAGCCTGGAGCTTCATTTAGGTTTGGGGAGAAGCTCAACCTGAGAGAATGGTTTCTCATGGAAAGTGTCCATTGTGGCTGGTGCTATTATAAAAGCAATTTGATTTGGTGACACTTTTCCTTGAGGCCTGGAAAAGCCATGATTGTGTACAGAGAAGGAACCGAGCTTTGAGAAACCAATTTTTTCTGTGTTTGGTGCATCGTCTTTTCTAGAGGCCCACAGATCCCAGGAGTGATCGGAAATACTGGTCTGCTTTCGCTGTGTTTCCATTTCCTCTGAACAAAGGCTTTCAGATATGAAGGTTGTGTTTGTTCTTTATATTATCTGCTTTGTCTTTTTAGGATCCTGATGTCAAAGAACATTCTGTAACCAACAAGTCTCAGCATTCGTCTAAGCTGCTTCATTACTCTGCTGGCCAGCAGAGAAACCCATTCAAGGTACTTGACAAGAATCAAGACCCTCCAGTATGGAAACAGTTCCTCAAAGGTGAAGAAAAGGAAAAGGTGGCTGACACGAAGCAACGGGAAAAGGCAGATCGACCTCAACCCTTGGATCAGAAGAAGACACAGAAGGCTGAGTCTAACTCTTGGGTGGAGCAAGGTGTTTCTCCTGGCCTGGTGGTAAAGAAAAAGCAGTCTGCACCAGGAGAGAAGCAGCAAGGGGGGCCAGCAGGGTCTCTGTGTGGAGCAAAGGAGGCTGAAGGCAGCGTTTTGGAGATTTCATCCACACATAGGAAGCTGGAGAAGCCTCCCGCATCTCCTCAGGAGGGATCAGATGGTGAGAGCCGTTATGTCCAGAAAGAAGCAGAACTTCGGAGAGAAAAAGGAACCAGGCCTTTGTCTGAATTTATTCACAGTCAGAACCCGATAGGCAAGCCCCAGAAAGGGGGACCTCCCAGCAAGGAGCACCCCAAGAGCGTGGAGGCTAGTGAAGCAAAGGCACCAGATGGCTCCGGGGCGCAGAGCGTCCAGCAGAGGCCGCTCCTCCAGGGCCGTGTCCAGCCACAGGCAGAGCCTCACACTGTGCCTGCTCTGAGAGGACCCGTGGCCACCGCGGGCCTGGCCCTGGGAAAAAGGCAAGAGGCCGACACAAGCAGCAGCGACAGCGAGGAAGATGCTGTGAGTTCTGTGTCTGCTAAGCCAGCGAGCCCCTTACTCTCTGGCTCGACCCCAGACTCACAGGAGAACCTTCAACTTCCTGGTCGAAACGCTCAAAGAAAACCATCTCCGACCTCAGGTGTTTCCAAGGAGGTAGAACCTTCGGACCCAGCAGCCCAGCGTGTGCACCTCACTACGCAGCTGAGGCAGAAGAAGGTAAGTGTGGGCTGGAGCTTCATGCTTAAGGTGAGGGCGAGGCTTGCTCTTGCAGAGCTGGGCGTCCATGGGTTACGTGTCTCTGTGGGAAGGTTTCATAGAGGGATGTTTAGTTTCTGCCTTTTCCTATGTTTATATTTTCAGGATTGATAAGTCAGCTGGATTTCAAAAACCAAAGTCCTGGTTTTCACACATACAGTTAGAAGAGCATACTTTCAGAATGTTAGCACTTTGGCTATTATAATCTGAAGCCATCCTTCTAACAAGAGGGGAGACCCACCTCCTGGGATCTCTTTTGCAGAGCATACTGGCTTCGGTGAACATCCAGGCTCTTCCAGACAAGGGTCAGAAGTTGCACACGCAAATCCAGGAATTGGAGGAGAGACTTAATGCTCTCTCCCTGTGCCCAGAGCCAGGTAAGATGGTGACAGATTGCAGGGCTTGCGAGAACTTTCCAAAGGGACTTTTGAGAAACCATTTTGAGAAGGAATCTGTTAATTCACTCACCTTTCCTTTTTATCGTCTGCTTCAGAGCTTTCTTTTCCATTATACCTGTGGTTTTGTAAAAACTTCCTCCTACTTCCTGTGGCCTCCCCTCTCCCATTGTTTAAGCGACTGTTTAGATGCTGCGCTGTCCAGGAAGCCTTCCCCAGCACGTCAGAATGGTGTCGATCCCACCTTCTTTGACCTCACCTCCCACAAATAATTTCTACACTTTTCTGAACTCTCATCTCTTGCTTTTAAGCAGATGTTAACGAGAAGAGTCTCACACAAGCACCACCACAGAAGAACGTCACCAAAACAACGCCTGAGCCTCCGCACTTGGTGCCCCCCGCACCCCTGCAGCATCAGGATCTCCAGCCTCTGGGTCATAACAGATTCAGTCAGCACCTTGCAGGTAAAACCCAAGGGCCTGGCCATACTGATGAGTGAAATACCACGAGCAGGAGCCCTTGTGTGTGTATGGCCGGAGGGGCCAGTCCTGCGTTGGAGGTGCCTGTGTGATAAATACAGGTGACACTCAGCTGAGCTCTGCATGGTTTGTTTAGATCCCAGAGGACAGGGACTGTGTCTGCCTGTTCACTGACCTTGACCCGTCCACCCAGGGGCTGGCACGTAGGAGCCTCCCAGCCAGTTCTTGTGAATGAGCTCGCCAAGTGCCATCAGACGATGGTGACAGGCCCACAGGTGCGTGGTTCTGTGTGCGAGTCAGGGCAGAGCAGAGGGGTGACCTAGAGGCCACGACCAGCAGGCCCGTCACCGACGCTAAAACCCTGTCTAGCTGAGTCTTTTCGCCTTGAACTTTGCGGAAAGTGATGACCTGAGAAGTAACTACAGGACGAGGATCCCACATAGAGCCACACGCTCTTGTGCTTGGCTGGGCTGCAGGCAGGGATAGGAACACAGGTTTACTGGCAGTGACTGGGACAGCTAATCCCAGGCCTGGGGCCCTTCCCAGGGTGGTGTTCAGCTCGGGGTGTGCACCTTGGAGGTGCCTCGCACTGTCTGCCTTGAATTCCACCTGGCTTGGCCTTTTCTGTTGCCCACTTTCCTCCTTTGCATTCTCTCTTTCTCTGCCAAAGATATTATAGGTCATCTTATTTTTCATTCATTCTGTTTCGTCCTTGGTTTAGTAATTCTTGATGTAATTTAAAAAAAAAACTACAACCTAGAGAAACAACGAGAGGATGGGGGTGGAGGGGTCTGAGCGGCTCGGGGGGTCTGGAGCCAAGAGCGCCCCGTCCCCACAGGCCCACTGTCTGCCAAACTGCCTTTGGTGGCCTTTGCGGGGACCGTACCCGAGATACCTTGAGATAACCCCTGTTTGCGCGCAGGCCCCACGAACCACCATGGCCCCAACTGGGAGTGGCAGATCACAAAGGAAGCCATGTACGCCCTTCATCAGTCACTTGAGTCGTGTCCCGATGAGACAGCTGAGGCAGAGGACCCCGCTGGGTTGAAGGTGAGCCTGGGTGTCCTCCCCTGCAGGCCTGTGCCTCCCGAGAGGGAAGCTGCGGGGAGGCTGTCTAGAGTGACAATCTGATTGCGCTTTAGGGGCCGCCCATCCATGTTTTTCCTCCTGTTGAGTACTGAGGAAATAAAAATGCCCCTTTTCTTTCTCAAAGCCTTAATGTCGCATGTGTCGGGGGCAGTAAAGTGTCCATTTTTTGGTGTCACAGGGCGTGAAGAATTGCTGCCTTAGTGAGGGGCCTGGCTCGAATATGTGTGTACATGTATGTGATACAGTTAAAAAGCACCTAAGACAAAGCTAGACAGTAACGTGCTCTAGAGATCAGGTACAAAGTACGAGGGATGCAGAAGAAATTAACCCCGCCGTAGGGCAGTTGTTACCTGCTGCCTGTCTTTGTGTCTTCAAGAAACTAGAGGCCCAAAGAGAGTGGAGAGGATAGAAACCAAACTCCCCAGCTCTGGGGAGACTGGTCTGAGTAAGTGATGATGGTGACGTCTGTGCTTGAGCTGGGAGCAGCAGGTGACGGTACTGAGCAGGAGGACGCCTGATGTGGGGCCTGGCGTTGGCGAAGGATCTTAGATGAGTCTAGCTCTGGAGGGATTACGGAATCCTGTAGGATTCTGAGCAGGGTTTTTAAGAATTTTTTTTTTTTAAGATTTATTTATTTATACAAGAACCGGGGTGCAGGCCAGATGCGCGGGAGGGTGAGAGGATTCACCAGAGACAGAATGGGGAGCAGAACAGGTGGATCCACTGAAATATACTGCCGAAGGGAGCAGCAGGCAAGACAGGAGAGGTCTGCTGCGCCATGTGGGATTCTCGCCGGCCGGCCAGGATGGAACCCTCACTGCGGAGACTGCAGACAGCTTCACAGCATGGCACTCAACTGCCTGCGCCACCAGGGAGGCCCAGATTATTTTTTAACACAGAAGAGAACACAAACTGGAGTTAGAAAAAGACTAGAGGGGAACTCTAGCTAAGGGCTGTTGCCATTTATGACTAGCATTGCAGGCTGGGCTGTGGACTGCAGAGCGGAGAGTCAATTTTAAGAGATACTGGGGAAAAACCAGGGTGACCAGTCCGAGGTCTTGGTCACCAGCGGTGGAAACTGACTTTGGCCAATGCAGCAGCCCCTGAAAGAGTGAGGGGGTGCTTTTGTAAGGGTGCTGGGCAACTGTCCCAGGCCACCCAGTATGCACAGTTGCTCTGGGTGAGGGTGGGGGTCAAGCACTTCCTGAGCAACTTCCCTGACAGCCAGAATATTGGGAGGATCACTTAAAACAACGAAAGTAGATTGTGGATCCAGGCAGCCAGGATTCTGCCTAGGTGCTCACAAGGAATTCATACCTAACTTTTGGTTGTTACCTCTGCCAGGTGCCTTTGCTGTTACACCAAAAGCAGGCATTGGCCTGGTTACTGTGGCGGGAAAGTCAGAAGCCACCGGGAGGGATTCTGGGTAAGTATGGTGTTACGATCAGCGTCGACACGTGTGTCTCTCAGTCCTCTCTACAGCTCTATGTGGCTAGGACGGTCATGCCCCCATTTTACAGATGAGGAAACTGAGTATAGAAAGTTGAGCAACGTGCTCAGGAGAACACAGCTGAATGGTCAGTCAGGTCTCACTTGTAGAAGCTGCTTTGACTGATCAAGCAGAGGGGGAGTTTATTCCGTGGTGATCCACATAATCTCTGGGAGATGTGGAAAGCCAGGCTGGAGGCCAGATTTCTAGGAGCAGTGGCTGAAGCCAAGTTACATACTGAGTGTCCTGTGGACCATCTGCCTGCTCTGCTCCACCAGTCATTGGAGGGGGCCCTACCTACAGACACCCCTGTCTGCACCTCTCCTACACACAGAGTTCCACGGGGAGCCTCTTCCTCTGAACTTGTCTAAATCAGAGTCTTGCACAAGTCCATGGGGTCTGGAAAGCTGCTGTGCCTGAGCTGCACAGCCTACGGGACAGTTTTCCAGGCTCTGCTTTGGGGAGTCATCAACTGAGAATTTTCCAAGGTGCTCAACTGCTAGAAAACATGATCAATGTGCACCATAGCTCGTAAATAGCTGTATTGGGGGTCCCCAGGATCACCCCTGGACTCAGTGATTTGCTAGGAATTGTCTGTAATTGTACCCATGACTATAAGTTATAGCAGTAAAATACTAAAGTTATTTTGATTTGGCACAAATCAAAATCATCAAATGAAAGCAACATTTGGGGCACAGTCCAGAGGAAACTAGTTGCAAGTTTCCAGAGACCTTTTCCATGAAGTGAGACTTGCAGGGCAAACCAAAATCTCCCAGCAAGGGCAGCAGATGTACGATATTGCCTACCAGGAGAGCTCCTTGGGGCTTCAGTGCCTAAAGTATTGGTGGCTGGTCACACAGGTAGCTGCGGCCTGGTACGTGCTGAAATTCCAAACTCACAGAGGAAAGCAGGTGTTCGCATGGACTATGTTGGTTACAGAGTTTAGGCCCAGCGAGCCACTCTTACGAGTTTGGGGAGTGGGAGGAACCCCCACCAAATCCAAGTTCCCAGCTGTCAGGCCAGGCCATGTCTCTTCAGCTGAGTTGATCCTTTGCTCCAAGTAATTAACTCTGCTGTGTCTGTTTTTATTTTCCAGCGGATGACATGGGCTTAGGGAAAACTCTCACGATGATTGCACTTATTTTGACCCAGAAGAATCAACAGAAAATGAAAGAAGATGACAAAAACTTGCCTCTGAGGCACCCCAAAGATGGTATGGCTGCTGTTTCCCCAGTCATTGGAGTCAGAGTGGAAATTCCTAAATTATGAAAGGACCCCACTGGCATGTAAAGGACCCCATCTTTTGGAAAACCTGTGTTTGGCTGCTGCTTATGGCATTATTTCTGATATCAGATATGCTAAATTATAAATTATAAATTTTTTATTTTTTAGTATACACTTATCTTGACCTCTGCATAGAAAGATTGTATGGAGAAAGCTAAGACTTGGCTTAAGCACAGTGATGACTATTTTTTTTTTTATGTCGAGGCTCTGTCTCCAGGGTAGAGCCGAATTAACTAGCATATTCTTTCTTCAGGGAAGCTCTGTGCACAGTCCAGATGTTAGCCACCACAGCAAAAGCTGTTTTCTAAGTTTCTGAAATTCCAGAAATGTCTAGAAAATGTCTATCTTCTTTCAATCTCTTTTTTAAATGCATTAGCTGTGTAAGTACTTTGAAGGTCCTGCACAGTAGGTATGGACAGCACCACATGGAAGCTGCGTGGACACAAGGACATTTCTCACTTGGTTAGACAGCGAAGAAATCTGTGACCGTCTGGCATCAGGGCTCAGTGAGCAGCCTGACCGCTGGACCCCAGGTCCCTGTGACAGAGCCACGGGATCCCCTGCACACGCATGGGGGCCTCGGGGCAGCAGCACAGACGCCATCGCCAGCTGGTGCAAAGTAATGTTTGTCTGAGAAAAGGGTTTTAGCACTTATGTTTTAATATGGACTTAATTATGTTTTTTAGAAAAAAGTAATCATAACCCCCCCTGTAATGACTCAACTCGGGGGAGTTAGGAATTGATATTTCTGGCCACTCTGGCACTATTGTTTTTTTCTCTTTAGAATAAGGCCATGTGCTTCTCACTTTCCTGTCCTCCCTGGTGTCTGCCTCTGACACTCGGGGGAAATAAGGAAATCGTTCATGGTTTCAGAGTAAAAGAGCATCTCTTCCATTTCCTATTCTATAAGCTACCTGTCGCATCAGAGCCACCATTTAATGTATTTATACATTTAATATAAACATATTACTGGAGTCAAGAGAAAGCTAATGCGCGCAAGAAGGTAAAGCTGTTGAATGGGTATAACCGGGGTGTTGGTTTTCTCCCTCCAGGCCCCCCTCAAGACTCCTCTGAGTTTACTTCCCGTGGAACCCTACTCATCTGTCCTGCTTCCCTGCTCCATCACTGGAAAAATGAGGTGGCAAAATGTGTAAAGAACAACAGACTGAGCGTCTACCTCTATCATGGGAAAAACCGGGACTTGCGTGCGGAGGTGTAAGTGCAGACGTGGCGGTCGGGGCGCTCACCTCCCCACTGAGGTTTCCTTTAGGGCAACGGGTTTCCTCCACCCTTCCTTTAGGGCAAGTGACATTTGTGAAGACCAAATGGCCTTCACCTGTACTTCAGAAGGTCTCTGGAGAGGAAATGGCATTCCCCGCTGTGTGCTGGGCACTGTCCTGTGGAAGCTGGGGAGGCCTGAGGAGCCTGCCTGGTCAGCAGCAGCTCAGGCTCCTTGCCAAGGTCTCCTACAAGGTGCGCTGCTCTGGGTGGAGCAGGCTGGCGCTTCAGCGACCCCACGTGCCTTTCTCTTTGGCTGCCTTTTTATTTCTGATCATTTTCTTTCATGATTTCGAGAAGCTGTCTCAGCTTTTGGAGTAGTTGATAGGTTCAGTATGAACATTCTCTTGGCAAGACTCTTATCCTTGTTTGTTTGCAATAGTGCCAACTGCATGCTGGGTAACATTACAGATGCTTGCAGTGTCGCTACGGTAACACACATGGGGCATCCCTTTGTGAATGGCGCCCATCCCCGCGATGTCTCCAGTATCACCTTTCTTGTAGATTCGCTCGTCTGTGGCCAACGCAGCAACTCCATGTTTTCTAAAGGGCCTGGAGAGCACACAGCACGCGCCTTTCCTCTCCTTTGTCTTGGTCATCTTGGCGACTGACTGGGTTCCGGCCATCTTAGTGTGAATGAAACTGTTACGGGGCGAAGAAAGGGGTAACCCCAAGACCCCCAAACCTGCCTGCGTGAAATAGGTTCTGCCACTGCATCAAGACATAAGACCTTCGAGAGACAGGAGCTTTAGTACAATCAGTGTGCAATACAGAGAAGAGAAAGAATAGATAAAAGTTTTTCCACACAAAACACTCAAAGTTCCCCATCCCCTTGTGGGTACATGCCCAGCCCAACAGGGTTGGCCCAGAGCAGGGCAGCTGAGACCCAAAAGCCTGCCCCAAGTCTAAGGCGCCTTCTGGTGGGGACCCATAGAGAAGGGGCAGAAGGGGTCGGGCACGTCTGGGGCAAAAGGAGCAAAATCAAAGTGAAGATAAAGGCTGCCATGGTCAGCCTCCCCCTGCGGTGCTCACCCACATCCCTCTCTTTCAAGTGCCTCTTCCCCTGGCCCCAAGTCCCTGGGATAAGTCCGAGGGGAGAAGCAAGCGTGACATCACACGTCTTTCTGTTCCCTGTACCCCTTGCAGTCTTGTCTTTTCCCGTCTTTCTCCGCATCTTCTGTTCATTTCAGTCATTTTTCCAGTCTTTTTCTGTCTTTCCGTCCCTGCCCGGTCCAGGGTGCGCCAGGGAGCTTACGCTGGTCTCAAACCCGCCTGCTCTGACAAAGCGTCTTGGCTTAATTGTTAATGATGAGTCAGTGTGGGCGGATCACATTTTAATGGCTATGTTTTTCTGCATATGAGCCACGTAAAGAGTTTTCGATTCAAGCGTTTCGCATTAGATCACTGAATGGAGCTGCCCTGGAAGGAGGAAAGAAAATGTTTCCGAGATGGCAGTTTTAGTCCTTAGTCCTTGTCTTTTGGCTCAAAAGGAATTGGTTTTTGTTCCTAGCTGTGAGGCGAGGTCTGGGTTGAATACTCGCTGACCTACTCAGGGTGAGAGCAGAGTTGTCTCTGCTTCTCTGCAGTCTCCAGCCAGCCTCTGAGAGCGGATGCTTGTCTTCTGGAGGACAGGCGGGCGTCCTGGAGGAGGAAGCACCGCTTGGTGACTCTTGGCCTTCCCGCATGTGCATCTCTCACGCCTGGGAGAAGCTCTGGCCGGCAAAGGTGTCGGGCGGCGCTGGCAGGACCCAGGCTTCTCTGGCAGAGAGCGCTGGGGGCAGCCTGCCGTGGTCCTGCATTTTTATTTAGAATTAAATTGCATCTCACGAGATTCACTCTTTCTGGATCACTCTTTCTCTTCCTGGCCTTCCCCAGAATGGAACGTCTCTGACTGGCGTCATATTTAGCTTGATAGGATCTGGCCAGATCAGACGCCATGCCTGCCTCTGTCGGAACGTGCCAGTAGACCGATCGGCACATGCTCAGTGCTTGTTTTTGTGATGCTCGGGCAATGTGCAGGCGTCGCCGCCTCGAGTCAGACACATCATCTCTCTTTGCTGACACCCTCTCAGGCCAGTGTTAGGCACGTGGGAAAAGGATCGGTGCCTTGTGTTGAGTCTTTGTACGGAAGGAGTGTGGCAAGTTTATGGCATTTGTTTTTAAACCAGAATGTCAAAAGTGGGATTCATGGGTTTTTACAAACCCATCATAGGACACCGAGGCGACCGCATTGATGCTTTGAGGGTTTCTTGCTTCCCTGGGCATGAGTGCTGTCGGTATCAGATTACTAAACATTCATTCCTGGTCCTGCCTTATTTCTGGGCAGATCATATGACTCCAGTCAGAGACTTTCCATTCTGGGGAAGGCCAGGAAGAGAAAGAGCGATCTAGCTTGAGTGGGTAGACCATAGTGGGTAAGAGATAAGGAGGCCAAGAGAGTAAAATTTACCCCTCCCAAATGGTGTGAGGACAGAGGATGTGAGTTGATGAGTCCAGGCTCTGTCCTTCCAGCTGCAGGCATTTTGTGAGGGGACTGGCCCCGGCTCGTCGTCATCTGTATAAGAGGATCATTTACCATTTGCTCTGTGTTCTGTCTGCATAGCCTTTCTACATATGACATCGTCATCACCTCCTATAAACTTGTGGCCCTAGAGGTTCACACAAAGAAGCAAAAGGGAGAGACTCCGGATGCAAAGCCCAGTGTGAAGGTGAGGCTGGGGGTGCTGGGGAGGTAGAGGTGGAACCACAGGCCAGTCAGCCTGAGTTGCCACAGTCTTTGGCATCATAGAGCTAGTGGCGAAGGTGCCCTTTTCTGTGAGGTCAGGAGCGTCCTAAATATTCTATCTGTGGAAGTGCAGGGTTTTTCTCTCTGTTCCCCTCTTCCTCCAGACCACCTCCTCAGGGATAAAGGCAGGGAGCTGGCCCAGTTTTCACTTGTTTAGCACTAGTCACCATGTTGCAGTCATGCTGGTAACCAGCTCATGCGTGTAGGAAATTCTCACTTGTTGCAATTTTTATTTCAGGGTCTTTGGGGTGTATTTGTGATTTTTTTTTTTTTAAGGGGATCTAACTGATTTTATTAAATGATTCATGAATTAGGCAGTGTCTTATCTAGCAAGTAGAAAGCCATTGCCAGGATAATTTTTAGATTTGGCATGAAGACTATTATGTTAGTATTTGTATTTCAGAACTAGGCCATCTCATTCCCTCCACTTCAGCTAAGAGTTTGCAAATAATAATACTACAATCAGCAGATGCTAAATAACCCGGAACAACCAGACAAAGCCCGAACGTTCACTAGGCAACCAGCATAGTCTCCCTTGTGCGTAGAGGGTTTCTTATGGGCTTTTCCCAGCGTTGTTCCAAGAATTAAGCTTTTGCAAATGGGATAGTCACAAATTTCTTATTTGGGGAGATCTCGAGAATGATTCTCCATCTTTTTTTTTAAAGATTTATTTCTATTTATGCAAGAACTTGGATGTAGGCCAGAGGTGGGGGGGGTGATGGTGAGAGGATTCACCAGAGACAGAGTGGGGAGCAGAACAGGCAGATGCACTGAAATCCACTGCTGAGGGGAGCAGTGGGGAGACAGGAGAGGTCTGCTGTGCCATGTGGGTCAGCTCCCTGGCTGGGGATCGAACTTGTGCCTCAGTGGCTGGCGAAAGCTTGATAGCCCCGGTGCACCTGAGACTTTAACCCTTGCGCCACCAGGGAGGCCTTGATTCTCCATCTTCTAGTCAACTGTGAATTCTTGTGAAAGATGAAATTGGGAGTTTCCACTCTTGCTTTCTTTTTTTTTTTTTTAAAGATTTATTTATGCATGTAAGAGCTGGGGTACAGGCCAGAGATACGGGGGTGATGAGAGGATTCACCAGAGACAGAGTGGGGAACAGAACAGGCAGACTGAAATACACTGCTAAGGGGAGCAGTGGGCGAGTCAGGAGAGGTCTGCCACGCCATGTGGGTTACGCTCTGGCTGGCCGGGGATTGATCTGGTGCTGCAGAGGCTGCTGATTGCTTCATAGTATGGTGCTTAACCCCTTGCACCACCAGGGAGGCCCTCCACTCTTGCTTTCTTAAGCTCCATTCTTATGTCACTCTCTCTAGCTCGCAGTCCCCAGTTTGAAGGTAAGAGGGAGCCCTCAGTATTCATGTATTTCCATCCTGTTGTTGGATTTCACTTCTGCTTCTTTCAGGGTCCCTCGACTCCTTTGCTTCGAATACTCTGGGCTCGCATCATATTGGACGAGGCTCACAATATTAAGAATCATGAGGTGCAGACCTCCATCGCCGTGTGTCAGCTACAGGCCTGTGCACGTTGGGCTGTCACTGGAACCCCCATCCAGAACAACTTGTTGGACATGTATTCACTGCTGAAGTGAGTCACTCTGGGATTGTGTAAATGTGAACCCTGCCAGACACCGCGATTATTTCTCATCTCACGATAAAGCTCTGGTGTGTGCTGTTCTCTCATGGAGCAGCCTCCTTGAAAGGGCAAAAGGAATTAATATTTATAAGAAAATAATCACTTCACAGACTGGCTGATAACAGACTTTGATTACACCCAGCTCCTATGTGTGGGAAAACTAGGACAGATTGAATTAAAGGGAACAACAGTCATTTTTCTTCAGCTAAGTGAATGTATTAGCCTAGTTCTGCATTAAAACATGTGGCCTGGGGTCAGGAGTGCCATTTATTTGAAGCAAACGGAAGAGAAGGCCAATGTTAAAATACTTGCTTTTATTCAGACGAGGCTATAAGAGGATGTGGAATTCCTTTGCTGACCTTTGAAGCATCAGGAATAAATTCTGCTCGTTTCTAGACTCTGTTGTGATGATACAGACACCGTTCATGGGCAAATTCACGTTTTCATGATGTGGTTTTTGTTATTGACTGGGGTCCTTTTGATCTGTCTAGCAGAGCTTGCAATGAATTCGCTTTTAAAAATGATAAGATGACAGATGAAACAGGAAAGCTGATGCGTCTTCATCTCTTGTCTTCCTTGCACCTTTGCTCCCTCCTCCCACACCTCTCCTTTCCGGCTCGCCAACCTTCCCCAACAAAGATTTCTTCGTTGTTCTCCATTTGATAAGTTGAGTCTGTGGAAGAGTCAGGTTGACAACAGTACAAAGAAGGGAGGAGAGCGGTTAAGTGTCTTAACCAGAAGCCTTTTGCTGAGGAGAACAAAAGAGCAGACGGATGCAGCCGGCAAGCCCTTGGTAATCTCACCGCGTGTGTCCCTGGGGAACCCGGGGGCCATGACCACGGCCTTGTCTTAGGCTGAACAGTCATCTGCTTTGATCTGGGAGCCCCTGAGCGCCCCATTTTCCTACGAGGGGACCCTAGGGTTGCTGTGCAGTGCTGAGCATCCTCTTTAGGGAAGAGGGGGGAATTCTGTCCCAAGGTTGATGGGATTTCCCGTGTCAACCCTGGGGGATGTGCTCTGTAATATTTGGTTCACTGGCATAACTTCATTCCAGCTCCTCTTTCATTTTATTCTTCCAGGTGGTGCTGCCCCAGCGTGTGTTCCAGTTTCACTGCTTAGAGCTTTCTGTAGCTGAAAAGGAAGTTTACAGTGTCCTTTTTGCAACATCAAGGTGTGTGTGCAGTGGCAAGGCACCGTCCCACACGCGTTGTTCTCTTCTTGCTGGCAAGCCAGTGGAGGGTCAGGTTGCCTGAGACCGTCCTTATGGGGTCACTGATAAGCTGATACTTGCGTTCCTTCATCTGGGTTCCCTTGCCCTTGCCCCAGCTCACCTTGGTCTCATGTACATGGAAGGCCTTCAAGCCTCTTCTTCACTGATGTCCTTGCATAGAATCTTCAAGTAGGGTCGCTGTCCCCTGGGTCGGTCTGGTCCTCCTGGCACCTTTTGGGAAAGTGCTTTGGAACTTAAAATATACTGCTTTCTGATTCTTCTTGTCACTGCTTCTTGGTACTTTCGCAAAAGCTTTCCATCCTGAATTCCACGTTTATTTTCACCCACTTGTTTTTTTTTTTTTTTTTTTAAGATTTATTTATTTATTTATTTATTTATGCATACATTTATTTATGCAGGCCAGAGATGGGGGGGGCGGTAAGAGAATTCACCAGAGACAGAGTGGAGAGCAGAACAGGTGGATCGAAGTATACTGCTGAGGGGAGCAGCAGGCGAGACAGGAGAGGTCTGCTGTGCCATGTGGGTCAGCTCCCTGGCCGGGATTGAACTCATGCTGCAGTGGCTGCAGATAGCTTCATAGGGCTGTGTCTTAAGCCATTGCGCCACCAGGGAGGCCCCAGTGCACCTTTTTTTTTACTATCTATCAAGAGTACTATAACATTGATGTTAGATTCATAAATATTAATATACTAAATCAATGTAGTATATAATTAATATTACCTATAATAATAACACTGTGGTATTGATACATTTGTTAATTATTTTAAGATGACTTGTATTTTAGTTAATTATGTATTTTTCATTGCCTCTGCCTAGTGCTTGCTGAACCTGACCTCATTTCACCACATCTGTAAGGCGGTCAGGTCCTGCAAGCACAGTTCCGCGATGACCATTGTAACCATGGCCTAAACCACCATTTGGTCTTAGCAACCCTCCTATGTGCATTTTTTTTTTTTTTGTCTGAGACAGGTCAATTGTGCAGTCCTATCTTAGAAGACATGAAGGTGAGGACAACCAGTCTGAAGAAAGCTCTGATGATCCATTCAGTAGAGGTGAGAAGTGGGACCCTCATACACACATCGCTGGGGAAATGTGGGTTCAGATTCAGTAAAATTACAGAAAGGAGGTCTTGAATTCTTAATATCAGAGACTTGACCTCAAATAGGAATCTTAACCCAAATAAAATATGCGGATCCACTAGCACTAGACCTAGCGAGCTAAGCTTCTTTGGCATGACTTTTAAAATCTGCTCTATTAAAATGCCAGTAAGTCTGTAAAGAAAACCACTCTTTCATTGGGCTTCATTGGTCCAGAAGTGAGTTATAACTACACCTTTGATTCTTAGATCAAAGAAGTTTAAAATAGCCACATCTAGTTCCTGATTCTTTCCCACATTTCCAATTCAAACCCTGTGTTTTCCTCCTTGGAAGTGGCCCAGGAGTTTGGGTACAGCGGCCCTGCATGCCCCACAGCCACGGTCTCACAGAGTGTCAGCAAGAGGAACGTACTGTCTCAGCTGCTGAGGCTCCGCCAGTGTTGCTGCCATCTTTCTTTGTTGAAGACGGTAAGAAAAGCCCTTTTCTTAAGCGTGGTGCCCGGGCGCTGCTGGAGAAGTTCCTCTCGGCCTCCTGCGACGGGGTCCGTTCTGCTGGGTCAAGGAGAATGGGGCTCGGAGTGGTTTGGTTTGGCTTGGGGCAGAAAAGAAGGGGCTTTTTGGTTTGTTTATTTTACTTTATGTTCATCTTTATCGAGCTTGGTCATCCCCACCGTCTTGAGAGCAGTTTTTATTGTTTGTATTGAATAAGCTTTCAGAAGGGAAATTGCATTTTGTTAAAAAGGAGACTGAATACTTTGGTATTTTAGCATATTAGAAGGCTAGTTTGGTTATTGTGTTTTGTTTTTATTTTCTGCCTTCAGGCATTATTAAGGCTTTTAAGTGTAGTTAGGAAATCTCAAGTATTTGTACAATTGGAAAAGTTGCCTTCAGGTAGATGGAGGCACATCCACAGTTGAGAGCATCTGTCATTCTTTTGAGCAATTGGGATAATATACTTGGATGCTCAATAGCTTCATTAACTGTGCTGCTCCATCGAGGGGAGGTGGAATGCCCGACTGATCTGTCTGGCAAGTCTCTGGAAATACCCATCATTTGATTTATTTTTAATTTGGTGGAAAAACGTGCAAGGTTCCATTTTCATCAGGGTTTCTCTGATCACAAATCATAAGACATCTTACTGTGTGGCGTGTTGGGTGTGATGTGTTGGTGCATTCTCTGGCTTGCTGCCCCGGCTGCCCTCCCACTTCCCCCTCCCTGTCCTGCTCAGGCCCTGGACCCGTCGGAACTGAAGAGCGAGGGCCTGGACCTCTCCCTGGAGGAGCAGCTCAGCGCTCTGACCTTGTCCGAATTCCATGACGCAGAGCTGTCATCCACTGTCGCCCTCAATGGCAAACATTTCCAGGTGGAGCTGTTTGAAGACACGAGAGAGAGCACCAAGGTACTTCTGTCACCACTGTTGCGGCGGATTGACTTTGAGGCCTCGCGTTTCCCAACCTGGGATCACTGGTTTTGTCCAAGCGGGTCCAGCCTCTAGATGGGAGGGCGAGAACCGCTCGGTGAAAGCTGCTCAGATTTGCCTTCTGGTCTTAAACTCTGATTTTATTTCACGAGTGATACTAAGCTCTTACCACATAGCAAGCTTTTTGAGAGTGGTTTGGGCTTGCCTCAACATCAAGGCGGATTTTCCGTCCTGCACTAGCGGCAGAGGACCCCTCCCGCTGTCAGCAGCACCTAAGTGAGCAGCAGTTTGTTTCTGGGAAGCTTTAAAGGGAAACAACAAAGCCTGGGCCTTCAAGACTGACACATCTGGGCGACAGTTGCTCCGACTGTTGAAAGGCATCCATCTGCGAGGATCGTTTCCTACAGAAGCTTCTGTCTTCATTAGTCATTCTGTTGCCTTTTCATTAGAGCTTTTCAAGGGGAGGGAGGCTGAGCTCTGTTCTGAGGGCCCCTTGCCTCTCACTTGCCTGGCTTGGTGTCCTGCCCACAAGCTTGCCCCTAAAGGTGGGGCTTCTTTTTCGCTCTGCTGCTATCTTAACCTGCCCTTCCTCACCTAAACCTCAATTCTCAAGGGCTTTTTTTAAAAAAAAAAACAAAGTAACCAGAAAGGAGGTTGCTGCCAAGGGAGCGGTGCTGTGGAAGAATCACGATAATGAAAAGTTTCAAATATTTACCTTGGTCTTCCTCACTGTTACTTGGGAGAAACATAAGATGGCTACCATGTGAGGCCAAGCTTCATACCCTCACATCTTCGAAGTTAGCTATTGATTAAAACTTCCATTCTTGTTAATTTGTGTTTCTGGTCTCATAGGTAGTATTAATGCACAAAACTTCTTGACACAAGCCCATTAACATAGGGCTGTTTCACACAGGGAAGGTGGTTATTTTGTAGATAAACCTTCTGTGTGTAGATAACACACAGAAGGGCCTGGAATTTGAGCCCCACTCAGGGGCCGTGAATCCTGCCCTCTGGGCCTCTGGTCAGCTCCACCATGTGGGAGAGAGTGCCTCAGCGTGGAGTCCCCAAGACATCAGGTACTTACTGTCCCTGCTTTCTTCTTCAAATTCAAAATGGTTCAATCCTCAGACTTAGTTGCAGCCCAGGCATCAGTCAGCCAGGTGACTGGGTTCCGGTTCCTGCCTTTGTTCAGGTTGGAAGGGGCTGCACAGTTTGCCAGTGTAACAATGTGGCCTGTCCCGGCTGCCTCCGAGCCTCTTTTTTTTTTCTGGCGAGATTTGTGAGCTCTTAACTGGGCATTCTAAAGGGGTGATGGTGGCGTAAGACATCTTCATCACCTGAGTCCTGGTTCACCATCCTGTGGCTGAACCCTGGGGCCCTGAGATGCAGTTGGAAGGTCATCCGTATTAACAGCCAGTCGGGAAGGACTCACAGGCTCAGCTGCTCTCCCAAGCCATGCCCTGTGTCTCACTGAGTCTCCTGTGTGGGTGTGAGTGGGCACTGGAGGGTTTGGGTAGACCCCAGCGAGCTTGTTTGGAAGCTTCAGAGCATGTGCCTCGACTGGATGGGCCTCTTTCTTCAGCAGCACTTACAGCAGGTCCTAAAGTGGAGCAGGTTCTCACTCTGCAGACATTAGACCCATACCTTTTCTCACCTGGCAGTGCGTCGGCTGCTCAGGGCACAGACAGGCGCGGCTCGTCCTCCTGCACCTAAGTACCTAAGTGGTGAAAGCAAGAGGCGATGGCTACACAGCCACTATAGAGCGTGAAGAAGACCTGATGACAGAAAGGGCGCTAGAGGGGGGCATGGCTGGCAAAGCCTAACCCTACTGTAGGGGACCTCCAAGAAATGAGGTGAGGCTGACTCACAGGAGTCCTAGGCAGGGGGTGGCATGGACACAGGTGAGACAGTGTCACTTGGTGGAGGAAGAATCTTGTGAGGAGCATCGTTTGAGGCGGATGCAGTGGGTGATGGGCCTAGAGATGCAGGCAGAGCCGACAGCCTCCGGTGGCCCCCCGTCATCCTCAGTGAGTGACCACTCGTGAGTCTAAAGGGGAGGAAAACAAGGAATTTATAATTTAGAACTAGTGGTCTGCGTGCGGAGAGGAGTCAGGGGCAGACCAGGTGCTGTGAGTGACTGTTTCCATAATTCAAGTGAGAGAAAATGGAGAAAAATGAATTGACTTAAGCCTACATATGTTAATGTAACCTTTCCCCAGATCTTATGCCTGCTGGAAAAGTTGGAGGCAATCCGAAGAGAACCAGGGTCCCAGAAGAGGTAAATGCGTGCCTTGTCCACATGTTGCTTATAATTAAGCAGAGACCTTTGATCTCGCTGATAGTCATCAGTCTGAGCTTTTCTGTATCAAGGGCCTTGATCTTGCTCCGCAGAAAGCACTGAGATACAGCTCATACCCTGTGGCTTCGAATGAGAATATTTGTGGCACAGACCGAAAAGGAAATCAGAGGATCAGGGTTAGCTGAGCAGCTGAAGAAATGCTGAAAAGTAGAGAAGCTTCTAAGGAAAAGGAAGGGGTAGCAGGTGCAGGAGAGAGCCTGTGCGTGGGCAGGGTGCCAGGAATGTTCTTAAGCTGGGTGAGGGGGCATAGGAGGTTCGCTTTGCTGACTATTAGCCTTCCATACAGGTTATGCATCTGCATTTGTATGTGTGAGATGCCAGGACCTAAAAATTTTAGACTAATTGAAACATAGCACAGAGGGGAGGGTGGGGGTGAGACAGAGAAACCCTGGCAGCTTGTTCTGGCCAGCAAGGGGCGGTAGGTAGCCTGCACCCCTCTGCTGTGGGACCAAAGATCTCCTTCAGAAGTGCCCCCTGCCCCCAGGTGATAGGAGGCAACCTTCATGGTTTTAGTGTAGCCCCCACGTAGTTCTGACTTCACTCAGCACACAGTAAGTTACAGACAAGGAACAGCGGAAGCTCACGGGACCCAGGTGTGTGTCTTTACCCCTCAGGTAATAGGGAGGCACTGTCGATGGCTGAATCTGAGAACAGTGGGGTCGTTGGCGCCTCCTGTGGGTGAGTTTGTTTAACCTGCCGGGGCGGGTGTTTGCTCCTCCTGCAGTGTCATCGTCTCCCAGTGGACCAGCATGCTCAAAGTTGTGGCCCGGCACCTCAGGAGGCACGGACTGACTTACGACACCATCGATGGCTCTGTGAACTCCAAGCAGAGAATGGACTTGGTGGAGGCCTTTAATACCTCCAGATCCCCTCAGGTACGCGCTGGTCGCCCCAGAGCTGAATAATTAAGAGCAAATTGTTCCCAGTTACACAGAGAGCAGCAGCATGTAGCAGCGCAGTGTAAAAATAGTCACAGCCTTGATCTCTCCAGGTGTCTGTAATTGATCAGGTGTGCGGCTGATCTACAGAGGATCCGACATGAGGGCCGGGGGGCAGTCAGCAGAGCTGGTAGGATCTGAGAACCTTTGCAAAGGAGGCAGGTCTTGAAGGTCGGCAGGACCCCAGGAAAGAGGAGGGAAGAGGGAGAATCCACGCCTCCGCCTCTGGGTGCTAAGAATGTGGAAAGCACTCGGTGAGTGACAGGCGAATCGTAGCAGTGAGGCGGGGCTCGCCCAGACTGACGGGCCCGAGAGACTCTGAACCTGGCCACCCACCCTGCTCTTGTAACCCTGGTACATTCTAGCAGGCACGCGGTTGTTTTGAAATTAACTCACCCAAAAAAGGAAGTTATCTTGAAGGTGAGGCGGGGGGAGGGCATCATACCGTTTCATACGACAGCACGTTTGTGACAGCAGGCGATACGCCGGGAACACGTTGCTTAGCTGTGTTGACCGTGGGCTTGAACCGAGCCAGAGGGAGAGACTGTCTGAGGCCCCATCCGTGCAGAGTTAATGGTGTGCCTCCTTTTGAAGGTTATGCTGATCTCTCTCACCGCTGGAGGCGTTGGCCTGAACCTGACCGGAGGAAACCATCTTTTTCTTATGGACATGCACTGGTAATGGTTGGTTTTCTCCAGTTGCCGCAGCGCAGCAGGGAGGCCAGTGGGCTAGCGGGCTACGGTCATGCCTGTGCACACGTGTGTGTCGATACAGATCAGAGCAGGGTGTTGTTTGACAGCCTTCATTCCCGAGCAAGGCAGGCTTTAAATGACTCCTTAAAATAGTCTGTTCACTTTATTGTTAATCTAACATCTGTTTCCATGGAAACTGGGCAAAAAGGCTTTTCCTCATGGCTGAGAGCTGCCTCACTCTGTTTTACCTCTTCAAAATACCTTATTTCAGACATTTATTGACAGTCAAAGAAATCTCAACCCCGGAGAGAGGGAGAAGCGCCCTCCGAGGGACAGGTGAAGAGATGAGATTGTGAAATTAGATTAGAAACACTCAGCACCAGCGCCTGCATTCACCGCACGCCGCCCCTGGCAGCGGGAGCCATGAGCTAGGGTGTGGCCAGGAGAGTGTGAGAACTAGGGCCACGTTTGGTTTTCCAGTTAAGTCCATCTGATGTTGCTGCTGGGAACTGTCATCCGTCTACATCTCCAGGCGGCCCAGATTGGCACAAAGGGGCCGCCCACTACTGCCTTCTGGGAGGATGTGTTTAGGTTTTGCTTGGATGCCCCTGGACATGTGCTGAAGGGAAGCAGACCAATTACACCACTTCGGGATGGAGAAATGTTGCCCAGGGTTTTAAAGAGAAAAGATGAGGCAGTAGTTGGGAGATCAGAATGAGAGCTATTAAGAAGGAACAAATTAAGTTTCCCTGTAGAAACATAGAAAGCTGGAGTTGAAGTTGACAGCGGCCTTAGAGATCGCTAGCCAGCCCTCACGTTTCCCAGTAGCGATCTGGAGCCAGAGGGTTGGGGTTAGGTGACTGGGCCAAGGTCAGCCAGCTCATTAGTCATGGCTTTGAGCACCGGTTTCCCCTCTGTTACTTATAGTTCTCAACTGATGATGGTGCTCAGAGCTGTTCTTAGAATGATCTGAGCGCTATCTTTCTTTGGAGGGCAGAAGATAATCTGGGACTTTCTGAATCCCATTATAACCTAGGATGGTGATTTTCTAAATTTTTGTGTAATTACTTTAGGGGAGAGAGTAAATATTGCCAGATTTGCAGGCTACACAGGGCTACAAGGGTGTATCACATACTCTTCGTGACAACCCTTTAAAAATGTGATGGCCATCATTAGCCGAGAGTCCTATAAAAACAGGCTGCAGGATGGTTTACAGTGGGATCTGCCCCCCGACCCCTGGCCTAGGACGTCAGTGCCATTCAGCTTTTTTGCCTGTCTTGTAACAGGAATCCATCACTTGAAGATCAGGCTTGTGACCGGATTTACCGATTGGGCCAGAAGAAAGATGTCTTCATACACAGGTAGGCGGCAGTCTCCTGGCCTTAGGCCTTTCCCAAGTCGTGCTTTCATGCAAGGCTCTTTGAGTGTTTTAGAGGAATGTAAAGTATTGGTACTCATATGCTCCCAGTCAGGAAGGGAGCACAAGCAATCTGGGGGTGATCCTGGAGTTGGTGCAGAAGAACAAGCCCATGTTAATGATGAGCCATTCCAGTCAGAGCAGCCCATGAAAGGACCCTCCTTTCTGTCTTCTGCTTTTAACCTTTATTTTGACGTTATGTCAGACATACAGAAAAGAACCCAAGAATCCTTACAAGAATACCACCAAAAAATTCCCCCAATTTTTGATTGCAAGAATAATGCCAAATGCTGATTCTCGTGCACTCTCTGTAGGTGCAAACTTTTTTCTGAGCCATTTGAGAGGGAGTTGCTGCAGGATGCTCCTGTAACCCTGGCTACTTCAGTGCACATTTCCTAAATGGAAGGACCCTCTTATGCAACCGCAATCCACTGGCCACAGTCCGGCCAGTTTGCTTTGACACTGTTATCTGATCGGTGGACCTGCCTCCATTTTGCCACTTGTCCCCGAGATGTCCTTCACAGCGAGAGAACCCCAGCTCAGTGTGGCCTTAGCGGTCTGACCCGTCTCATTTAATCTGGAGCAATACCCGAGCCTCTGTGTTCCGTGACATTGACATTTCCAAAGAGCACAAACCAGTGGTTTATGTCCCTCTCTTTGCAACCCTCTCTGACCAGGAACCGCTTTTCTTTTCTTCCTTTTCATGGCCAGGTTTCCTGAAGAATCAGGAATCACTGTCCTACTTGCTTACCTCCCCTTCATTCCTCAACTTTTGCAAAGTGATTTTCCTCCTATTACGCCACTGAAACCGCTCTCGTTAAGAAGCACGTGTCAGTTCCAAAATTTGCCAAACGCAGTGATTTTATTTTCTTGTCTCTGCCTCTCAACTCACTCTGTATGCGTCTCCCATAATCATCCTTTCCACTCCAGTAAGTCCACAGTCTGTATCGTGTGTTCCCCTGTCCCCTAAACTCCAGACCCAGATATCCACATCTCTGTTAAATATCAAGCTGGGTGTCACCTATACACCCATCATTCACTCACTCATCCATGCGTGCACACAGCTCACTGAGCTCCTGCCTCTAAACCTGCTGAACACTGAAGGTGGCAGGTGCAAATCCATGTTCCAGGGACCTAAAATGTCACAGACTGAAATTCTTCCTTCCTCCCATCTGGTATCACTTACCCTCTGAACTCCTGTGTTTGTGAGCAGCCTCGTTGTTTGTTTGATCATAGAGCTAGACTCCTCCCTCCTCTCACTTTGCACATGTCAGGTTCTTTTAATTTTGTTTTCTAAATGTTTCATATAAGCCTCCCTTCCTATCCCCACTTCCATGCCCCGCTTTCAAATCTAACCTCCTTAACATGATGTGTAAAACCACTCATCATCTGGCCTCCATCAGCCATTGAACAGCTACCGTTATACTCCAACACGACGGAGACCTGACTTTTGCTCTGTCCAGACTGGCTGATGTGCTCTTCCTCCAACAGACGTGGACTTTGCACACATTGCCCGGCATGCCCATCTCCCTGTGCCATCTGGCAAGCCCTTCCTCATCCTACCAGCCACACACTGAGAGTTAACTGTTCCATGGAGCCTTCTCTGAATACCCCAGACAGATTCCCTCTCTCCGTTGGCACATGAGACTCATTTCCATTTTGGCACTTACCATGTTGCAGTATTGTCATCACTTAATATTGTTGTCTCTTGTGTTCTTTTTGAGGGCAGGACTACATTGTCTCTCCAGCCCCACACCTAGCATAGTAGATGGCATGTGGCGAATGCTTAATCAATACTTGTTGAGTGGCTGAGTGACAACAGTGGTGTTTCATTATTTTGAAAAACCTGTTTTTAGTGTGAATTAGCACAGAAATAGAACATTGTGCGCTGAAGTTATCACACCTGTCCTGGCAGAAACTTGATACCCTTTGGGTCTCTGACCTTATGATGCAGCTTTTTGACCATGCCTTCTGCATATCTTTAACAAATTTTGGCCTTTCTCACCTTAGCTTCAGAAAGAAATGAAAAGTCAATTTGCATCCCATCATTTTTAACAGACGTGCATTTATTTGCATCTCCTAAATACAGGTTGTTAACCAAACCTAAGAAAAGGAAGGAAGAAATGTCATTTAAAACTAACGAATAAATAGATCTGCCGGCTTAGGGTTTCTGATTATTTGCTTGTCTATTCTTTTAGATTTGTTTGTAAGGGAACGGTGGAAGAGAAGATATTGGAGCTCCAAGAAAAAAAGAAAAACTTGGCCAAAGACGTTCTGTCAGGGTCTGGAGAATTTGTTACCAAGCTCTCCTTGGATGACTACAGAGTCCTTTTTGATATCTAACCTCCTGTCTGTAGGGCTCAGAGCAGTGAGCGCCACTGTTGATTTCTATTAGGATCTTGGTACAGCCACCTTATGCGGTCTTTGAGCTCTCCTCCCCTCTCCATGTCACCACTGAGCCTTACATCTTACCCCAGAATAATGGAGAGGTCAGCTATTGTGTTGACCAACTGGCTAATCAAATATCATGACGGTAATTTGATCATGATAATCAAGTGAATGATAATCGTATTAATGAGTGACCTAGAAACCAATGAATTACTTCAAATAAAAGAACATGCTTTAGAGCGAGGCCATTTTGGAGGTCAGCCCTGGGAGAGGCGTATGAGCGTAACTAAAAGCTCCCCGAGGCACCTGTGCCTTTCTCCTCTTAGCTTGGGGGTGCCCAGTGTTCTACTTCCTTACACAGGCTCCATCCCATCTTCGTCTCTTGCCAGAGAGGCTGCTTCTAGAAGCATCTCTTAAGGGCTGGGCAGTGAGTGGACCCCTGTGGGCATTGCTCTTGGTTGTCTCATTCCAGGGGTTCAGAGGGACGAGGGGGGCACTTAGTATTTCTGTCATTGTGCCATTGAGTAATAGTGGCTCATTTAATTTTTGGGTCATTGTATCCTTTAGCGGTACATTGTCTATAGTGCCACACGGGTAGTATTTGTATCATGGCATTTCCTATTTTGTCATCTTTATTACATGTGTGGTTTTTACAAATACACAGTATTTGGAGCATTTGGTATCGTCGCTTCATTGAGCATCGTTGTGTCATTTCATTTTACCATCGGTGGCATCATTTGGTATTTGTATTATCCTTGGTGTGATCCAATAAATGCGGGCTTGACAAAATAGTGGAGCAAATGCTGTGTGCTCGCCACACCGTGTTCCCTTCCCGGGCACCGTCTTCACTGGTGTCCTGGGTCCGTGTTGCTGGGTTCTAGGTGATTGGCTGTGGAGACAAGTAAGGTATAATGAGTCATTTCTCTCAAACTTATGGTTCCTTATTTTTTTCATTTTAATATTTATACATATATATATATTTAATATCATTGTTCATTTTTGTACAATGTGTGTGCTGTCTCCTCTCAGGTGTAGCCCCCCCCCATAAAATTCCCCCCACCAGTTCACCCGTGCTCCATCACCATTGTCCTCTGTGCTCTTCCCTCCTCTTTTTTGATCCCTCTGCCTCCTGCTCCCTTGCAGAATGTCTCTGCTTTATAGTTGCCTGCTAGTTTTGCTTTTTTATTTATTTATTTTTCCCTGATCCCTTATTTGGTTCCCTGACATTCTTCTTGTGAGACCATCCGATATTTTTCTTTTTCCTTCTGCCTTATTTCACTGAGCATAATCCTTCCAGCTCCATCCATGTTGTTGCGAATGGCGTGAGTTCATCTTTTTTGATCGCTGTATAGTATTCCGCTAATGGTTCTTTATGCTGCTGCTTCCTCATTAGCCCGCTGGATGCACAGGAACCGATGGAAGAGAACCGGAAAGTCACTAGATCAGGGATTCTTAACTCGCTTTTCGGTCATGGGCCCTTCTGGTTGACCAGTAAGCCACCGTTCCTGAATGCCTGTGGGAACAGTCCTCTCGCGTGTGCCCCTCAACCCACGCCGGACTGTGACATGATAAAGAAGTAATTTTCTGAGATATGGGGGATTATAGCAGTTATATAGCAGTTCGTGCCTTGATTAACACAAACTTTTGGGACTTCTATACTTTGGGAAAATATTCCTTCTTCCCCCTAGCCATCTTTTCCAAAGTACTTATTCTGTTAATTTCTATGCAAAAGCATTGTAGTTCTTCCTGGAGAAAATGATTTTCCTCTTTCGAGTGAGCACTAGACGGCCTCACCCTCTGTAAACTCAGACACTGTGGATTGAGCAAGGTCTAAAGGCTGCAATGTAGAGACCATTGTCTGGAGAGAAGAGCTCTGGTGCAGAACTCAACTCTAGTTTCAGGGTCCCCTTTGCTGGGAGTGTAACCTTGAAAAGGTCACTCGCTTCTCCACACTTCGCTTTCCCCATTTATAAGGTGGGTCTTGCTTTTAGACCTCAGCTACAGTGAGGCCCCTGATAAAATTAGGAAATGAAAAATGACCCCTTGAGAATTCAGATGAGATAACTCACCTGGGCACAGGTAGACTCAGGTAAGTAGCAGCTCCCTGGCCAGTAAGAACAGGCAGGCCTTGGCTCTGCCATTTGTGGATTACCTCATTCTTGGCTAGTTGCAGGTCCCGGGCATCCTGGCTCGTTTGTTAGGAGTAAGGATTAGCAGAAATCTCATTCTGCTCCACTGGAAATTGGGAGCAAAGATGCACCACCCATTTGACTGGATAGGTTTGGTCATGCCAGCCGAGGCACGTTAGGGGAACAGCTCACTGTTGCAGGCGCTGTCTAGGAGAAAGGTGGCATTAACTATGAGCTTCAAGCATTCTTGCTTTTAGTTTGAAAATAGGTGCAAGGATTATAGCCTGACATTTTCAGCTATTCAGAGGCCTTTGATAAATGTAATCTCTAAGATTACTTCTTATCTTAAACAGTGTTTCTAGTGTGCCTTGTTTGACTCTAAGCAAATACACTAGTCATGTCTCGGGTAGGTGTTTCTGGAATAGTGAGACCCTGGTGATGTCAGGGAGATGCAGGGACAGTTGCAACTACTGTCCTAACAGGGTGGACTACACCAAACGCATGTCCGTAAATTCTAGTCCTGGGGTGGAAATTTCTTGGGAATTGGCTTGAGGAGCATCCTGATGTTTCTCTCAAGCCCATGTTTATTTTAATTACTGTGAGTCAGTTTCTGGTCTGGGCACAGCACAGGCCTTAGGCACCCCCTTGCAGATGCCAACTCCCCGCCATGTGGTGACCTGACAGGCATTGCCCCGTGCGTCCTGCGGGGTCACCCAGCCTGCCTTCCACCAGTGTTGCTGGCCTTTTGTTTGTTTGCTTTTAATCTTCCTTTCTACCTCACTGGACTTGGACAGGGATGAAGGATGAAGGTAAAAAGTTCTTTATAAACTAGAAAGCACCATACAAGTTCCAGGATCGTTGCGGCAGGGCCAGGGCTGGGGGTATGAGAGTAAAACAGCAGCCGAGGCACAGCTGAAAATCCAGATGGCGACCATCTGTTACCAAAGAGCTGCCTTCCTGAGCACTAAGTGTACAGATGCAGAGATATTTCCTCTGCAACAGAACTGCCTTCACGGAAGGTTTCTATAGTTGGATTTTTCTTTAGCTGTGCTGAAGACGGGCCTTGTGCCTGCATGGAGGACGCCATTCCTAGCACTCATGTGCGCGGTATTAAATGGCTGTACGTGTGCATGGGCTGTTTCCTCCCACGGTGTCTGCCGCGTGTGTGGCTGCCAGCAGGGCTCGAAGGGGAAGCCAGAGTCTACTGCACTCCGCGCGGCCTTCCTGGTTGTCGGAAATCTCGGTGTCTGCCATATTGCCTGGAGACACGTGGGTTTACAAAGTGGGGTATTGTACAGTTTGTCCTGGAACATCTGGCCCTAGGAAAAGGCATCAAGATTAGAGAGCATACCTGCAGACGCCAAAGGAAATGCATTAGGAATTTGGAATTCCTAGTCACGCAAGCTAGATTAAAATGTTTTCGTAAATGAAATCAAGGTAAGTCATGCTACAGAAAGCCACAGGAGCCAGTCACTGGGGACCAGAGATGGAAATGAAAGAGCCAACTGTGCCCGTGGAGGGGCCTGGGAGACAGGGCTGCACATGTCTGCTAAACTGAGTCCCAGAATCTTTTGCTGGACCTGAGTGTAGGTAGAGATCATGTAGGAAAGGAAGGATTGGGGGGGGAGGTGCTTTTATTGCTTTATTAGTCACATATTAATTCAAAAATACATATGCCAGGCACTACTGAGCGAGGGTGAACAGAACCCCAGCAGCCCCTGCTCTAAGGCTAGCAGTCTAGCAGGGGAGAAGACGTTCCTCGCGGAGCCCCGCGGGGCTGCAAGGTGGCATGGAGCCGGGCGCTGTGAGAGAGGCCTGAGAGCCGGAGGCGACCTGGCGGGGAAGCCTGAGGCAGTGAAGGAGTCGCAATCGAGATGTGAGCATTAACAACAAAGCAGAGAATGAAACGCCTCTTCCTGCAGCCTGATGCTAACGAGCGTTCACTTCACCCCTCAACCTCTTAGTGGAGACGGGCACGCCCCGGCCGGCATCCTCCGGGCTGGAGCAGAGTGACTGCGTGTCAGACGTTAGAGCCGCCGGGGCCTGGTGGGGAGCGGTGCGTGTTTGTTATCCAAGGCAGCAGGTGTTTGTCCCGTTACCTCCCAGAGGACGGAGGCTCTCATCTGTGGCTCTTTTTATTCCCTGTTACACCAGCGCTGCAACTTTCATCACAGCGCGGCATCTTGGTGCCGCTCCAGCGCTCACGACGCTAAGGCGATTTCTGGCGCACTCTGTTACCGTGGGGACAGTCTCTAAGTCCTCAGACTTTTTTTCTTTACCTTGGAGTCTTGGACTCTGTAGATCACCCTTTGCCAGGCTTTGCAGCAGGCAGGGCCATGGAATTAAATTGGGTTTAGACTCCGTTGTAGCGCAGGCCAAGGGATAACCCTGCCCCTCCCCTGCACCAACTTTTTTTTTTTTTTTCAATTTATTTTATACAAGAACCAGGGTACAGGCCAGATGAAGGGAAGGGTGAGAGAATTCACCAGAGACAGAGCGGGGAACAGAACAGGCAGCCTGACGAAATACACTGCTGAGGGGAGCAGCGGGCAAGGCAGGAGAGGTCTGCCGCGCCATGTGGGACCCTCGCGGGCTGGCTGGGGTCGAACCAGCATTGCAGAGGCTGCAGACAGCTTCACAGCGCGGTGCTCAACCACCTGCACCACCAGGGGAGGCCCAACTTTCTTGACTTTTTTTTTTTTATTAAAGATTTAATTAATTAATTAATTAATTTATTTATACAAGCACTGGGTACAGTCAGAAGTGCGGGAGAGTGAGAGAATTCACCAGAGCCAGAGCTGGGAGTGTTAGGGGGAAAAGGATGTCCCAAAGCTAATTGCTCTATAACAGGAGCAGAGCAGGCAGAAGGACCGAAGGACACTGCTGAGGGGAGCAGCGGGCGGCAGGAGAGGTCTGCGCGCCATGTGGGACCCTCCTCCGGTGGCCGGGGAGCAGCCGGGGATCGTACCGGCGCTACAGAGGCTGCGGGCAGCTTCGCAACCCAGCGCTCAACCGCTGCGCCACCGGGAAGGCCCTTTCTTGACATTTGTAATGGAACTGTTGCCATTAATATTGCTTAAAGGCCTGGGCATTGCCAGATGCCAGAACCTAGTTGTCTTGCCGAAATTTTCTGGTTTAGTATAATTTTATCTACAGTGAAGTTACGCAGTTACTGACACCTGAGACTACTGAAATGATACACTTTTCATCCGTAGTTCTGAACTCTGATTCACCAAGAGACACAGGGCGGGGTGGCAGGTGATGTAATACAACAAGCTGCTTCACGGCAAGCAAGTCCCTGGATGTCTGAGGTAATTGGAAAATGTAGGGCTGGTCCCTGAGGTGCATATACCTTATCCAGTGGGTTTGAAAAGAAGCCCAAGATTTTTCCTAAGTGGTATTTGGTTAAATGGACCTTGAGAGAAGGGGACTCTGGCTTGTAGAAACAGATAAGGAAATACAAAGTAAAAATTCTACCAGTTAGATGTTTAATCACTTGACAGAATATTGATGAAACCCCTACTATGCGCCAGAATGGTCCTTTCCGGGATGATCGAGCAGTGAATGTCAGCTCCCTGCCCTCACAGAGCTGACAGTCTAGCGTGAGAGGACATGCAGTAAGCAGGTTGAATATGTGTTAGGTGCTGGTGAAGCTGGTAAGGGTGACGTGGAGTCCCCATGGTGGGGAGTTGCTTTTTGTTGTTGTTGTTGAAGATTTATTGATGTGTAGAACTGGGGTACAGGCCAGAGGTGTGGGGGGTGAGAGGACTCACCAGAGACGGAGTGGGGAGCAGAACAGGCAGATTGACTGAAATACACTGCTGAGGGGAGCAGCGGGCGAGACAGGAGAGGTCTGCTGTGCCATGTGGGTTGCTCCCTGGCCGGCCAGGGATCGAACTCATGCTGCAGTAGCTGCCATTTGCTTGATGGCACTGTCTTTAACTCCTGAGCCACCAGGGAGGCCCTATTTTGTCCTCTTTTTAAAGGGAAGCAGAAAAATGGAAGGTTGGTTGGGACGAGGGGATGAAAAAAAGAGTTGTGGACTGAATTGTGTTCTGCCAGTACTCCTAGTCAAGCCCGAATCCCCTCCCTGCTGTATTTGGAGTCAGGGCCTTTGCGGTCATGAGGGTGGGCCCTTGTGTATCCTCATAAAAAGAGGAAGAGGCCAGACGTGTTCACACAGCCAGAGTCGCTTGAGGGCACAGTGTGAAGGCAGAGGCGGCGGCCATCTGCAGGCCAGGAGAGGCCTCAGGGGAAGCCAACAAACCCGCTGCACCTTGACCTTGGACGTCCAGCCCTGGACTGAGAAGCAGTTTCCTTGTTTAAGTCAATCGGTCTGTGGTGATGTTCCCTTTGCAGATGAATGCAAGAATCAAGGGAAATTATTTCTCCGATGGGGACTGTGGTAGCCCGTGCCTTTCCTGAAGTAGCAGCCCAGTGGAGCGAGAACCCCTGGAGCGGTGCTCCCGGGCTGTGGGGCTGGGCCGGGATCTAGGGTACAAGGAGCGGGGTTCACGTTCATAGGCATCCGGGCAGGTCTGAAGATGTGGTGGGAGGGTAGGGAAATTGTCTTCCAAGTCCTTCTTTTACTCTGTGAAACTAGGAGGCCAGGTCATAAATGGAGAGGGCGAGTAGGGTAGAACTTGGAGTTTTAAGAGAGCAAAGCATGAGATAACACCTAGGAGAGTGCGCGAGCAAATGAACTTGAGAAATGTCGGACTATTCAGTCATGTTCTGAGCCGTTCCTGGTACGGGTGTGACCATTATTGACCTGACCGTACATTTAAGGTGAGACTTAAATTTGTTCTTTTGTGCGTTTGTTCTTCTCCGGGTCATCCAGCTGGGTTAGTGGAGGCTGGGATCTAAGCCAGGGCTTTGCCGGGCAGGAAGGGCAGAGGGAGACCGCCGGCCAGAGACTGATTCTCGCGATGGCCTGTGGGCTCCACGCTGAGCAGCGAGGAAGGGAAGGGCAGGGGGTGCAGGAGGGAAGGCGGTGGAATCCCAGCAGTGGTGTCCTGGGGAGCGGCATGGGTGGCAGCAGAGGACTGCAGGGAGCGAGCGGCAAGGCCAGGGCTCGTGGTGTGGCGTACTCGAAGTCGAGGTAAGCGGGGGCGGTGACTGACTGCTAAGAACGTGAGAGAACTGGTCACGGATTTAAGAAGTTTGAAGTCTGGTGCTGACATCTTTAAGGGATGAGAGGGAGTGATTTGGGGTGTGGCTGGTTCTGTCTTGGGGGAAGCTGCCCCGACCTGAGCAGCTTTCCTGACCCACCCCCAGATCGGGCAGCCCCCTGCCTCCAGCTGTGGGAAGGAAAAATGTCTCCCAAACATTAGTAAACTTCTCCTGGGGGGCACAATCACTGCCGGTTGAGAACCACTCATCTGAACGCAGCAGGGATGAGCCAGCAGGACATCTGCCGGGCCCTGGGGCCCAGGGGCTGATAAGGAGAAGAGCTAATAATTTGGGAGAGTTACGGGGAACTCTGGGGAACTGGGGAACTCTGGGGAACTCTGTCTTCTGGGGAAATCAGATTTTGGTTAAAGGGAGGGTTGAGGGCAATCTTTCCAGAAGTAGATGGAAATACAGTGAATCTCTCAGATGTGAGCTACACCATAGCCTCAAACACCCCGAGTCTAGAGGAGAAATTGTATTCATGATGCCCTGACAGTCACTGTTTCGTGTCATTACTTCAATTCCTCTGCCAGACCCCACTCACCACTTGAATGAGTCACCCACTTCTTAATGGTTCTTACAATGCAGATTTCAAGAATTATATTTAATATATGCTGAGTTTTCACCATGTAAGAAATCAGGAGTCTAAGAAGAACACACAAAATACGTACATGGAAGACCTTGGGCTGAGTCACCACACTGTCCCTCTCCCAAAATTCCCTTCCAACTCCAGCAGCTAAGCGGGCACATCCCAGGAGCAGAGCCAGCTCACGTCTCTGTACAGAAGCAGTGAGGACGCGTTCTTCTGCACAAGAGGGCTGACAGGAGTCGAAGGTGCCTCGATCACCGGGCATGAGCTCGTGTATAGGACCCTGTTTCAACACCGCCTCTTGTAATGTCTTACTGCTGTATGCCCCTGACCTAGGAGGAGGAAGCTTGCAGGCTCCTAGGCCAGGAGATGAACATGGTGTTGGCAGGGGGTGGGGAGGGGTGGACAGAGACTCTAATCAACAGTCAGGTGACACCCATCTAAAGGGCTAACCGTGCAAATGACACTAGGAGGTTTTATTCTCTGAGGGAAATATCTACCTCACAGGCAACTCAGGGAGAACAAAAAGGCAGACATCACAAAGCAAGGATCCCAACTGCTCCCGTGGCCTCTGAGTTCCAATGGCACAGCTGCCAGAGCACCTCACAGAGCAGAGCACACCTCACACCTCACAGAGCAGAAGGCGCTTCCTTGGCATGAAAAGGACCTTGCCGGCTCGCTGCTCCGAGAGCTGTGGTGGGGTCTCGCGCTCAACCACTGGCCCCTGCAGTCAGTGAGTGACTCACAAAAACGCACTTGAACCGGTGAGTAGACGATAAGGCACTTTGTTTTAATTCTCTCAGTCTCCGGGATTTGTCAAGGTCTGGGGCCCTCTGGTGGTCCGGTGTCACGCAGGCTGCGGCTTTCACAGGCCGGGGCTCGGGATGCGTCACAGGGCCACGGTTCTGAGCAGACTCCTCGCGGCGCTCTGCCCCCCGGCCCACGTGCATTCCGACTTCTCGGTAAACTTGCCGCAGCACGACCAGTGGGGGCGGCCCGGGTGGCCTTTGTGTCCATGGCCACAGCCAAGGTAGCCACCTGCATGGCACAAAGTGGAGAAAGAAAACCAACCATCGGGGACGTCCAGCAGTTGCCATGGAAACGAAAGCTCCTGGTGCCACACGCACTCAGGGCAGTGAGACAGCTCTAAGCACCCGGCGGGAGAGCGCGAGGTCTGATTCCCCGAGACGGGGGTGACGGCCAGTGGCAGCCGGGAGAAAAGTGCACTCTGCTAGCTGCAGGGGACGCCGTGGTTTGGATAGAACTAAGCCGCCAAAGAGACGGATAGAGCGGTGGGAATAAAAAGACAGGCAGGTCTGAAGTGCTTATGCAAAAGGCCACGGAAGCCCATCTTCAGGCCCACCAGAGGAGGAACAGCAGAGTATTTTAAAATAAAGGAGACCTCTTGCCTGACCTGGATCCTCACCCCATCTCCAAGAAAGGAGCCCGACCTCCTCACTGATGGCATCGTCTGCTCCCTGCCTGGCCTTGTTAGAACTTCAGGTTTTAAAAGCAATGGGGTGGCTTATGGCCTTCCCGCTGCGCGGGGCGCTGGAGAGGGCAGTCTGAGGTCAGCCCCCCCCCACCCCCGCAGCACAGGGCTCTGTGGGTGGGCGAGCTGCATCAAAACTCTAAGAACTCAAAACGTTGAAGCTTCCATCTTAATTTTCAGAACAAGGAAGGTTTAAACGAAGCTTTCGGAACCGGGGTATGTTTATACGCCCAGACTGTACCTCCTAGAAATCACGTCTTCGTTGACTCTCCTACCCCTACTGGCTGGGAGCTGTCCCCTCTGCTGGAGACAGGGTCACGGGTGACGACCTCGAGAGCGACGGGCCTCCTCACCTGGCATGGTGCCCCCGCAGGCGCAGCGCGCGGTCTTCTGGCCTCCGCTGGAGCAGAACGTGCAGCAGTGAAACACACCCGGGTGAGGGCGGTGCTTCTTCCTCACGGTCACGGTGAACGGCGAGCCCTGCAGTGTTCAGACCAAGAGCAAAGAACGGCACGGTGTGGGTCAACAGGGACGTGCTGAGCATCACAAGGGCTAAACAGTGCAAGTCCCACGGGGGTCCTGTCCTTGGAGGGACAAGGACGGCAGGAGGACCAGAGACCAGGGGACGGTGGCCAGCTGGCAGGTGCAGAGGAGGGGAGAGCCAGGGGCCCGCCGCCCTCCTGGCACGCTCCTGACAGCGCTCACTCCTCGGCACGAGTGCTGTCTCCTCCACGGGGCTGAACCCCCGGCACACTGACTGGGGTGACAGCTGTGTCGGCAGGGACTGTTCCAGCCCGCAGGCAGGGGGGAGGAAGCCGCAGCACTAACAAGCTTCCTCCTGGCGGGCTCTGCCCCACCGGAGCCTCGCCCAGGGGAAGCACGCAGACCGCCTGGTGCCCCAGGCACCCACTCAGGCTATCCCTCACGGAGCCCGTCTCTGCCGCTCCATTCTTGAGGGGTGATCAGTGGAGATGTCTGAGACTTCGGGGGTCCCCTCGAGGGTCTCGGCCCATCCGCCCTCACCTCCGCCAGCCCCTGCCCTAACCAGGTGCCGCTGGCTGAGAGGAGAGGCGTGGCTCTGCCAACCGTCTCCTGGAAGTGCACGTCAGGCGCAGGCTGCGCGGCGCGGGAAGTTCCCGAGCGAGAGTCTGGAACGCGAACGCCTGTCCGCGAGCAGACTGTCCCCTGAAGTCGAGCATCTTTCCCAAGTGAAGACTCCAACAAACCAATGGGAGACGGAGAATGCAAGCTAACTGCCAGGAAGCCCAAGGGGGACGGGGCGTTCCTAGGGGTGCCCAGCGTCCTCGGGTGCAAGTAAGAGCAGCAAAATTGGGGGCATTTCTGAAGAGAAGGAAAATGGGGCCTCTTGACTTCGCTCCCTCCGTGCACGTGGCCCTGTGGGAATGTCTCCACATCCTACGACCACAGGACCTGGGGGCCGGGGAAAGGCGCGCAGGGAAGCAGGTGCCGGGACTCGCTCACCTGCACGTGCTGTTCTTTGACACAGACCAACACAGTGTAGACACCGGGGTCCTTGGGGGTATAGGAGACGTAGTACGTGCCGTCCTTGTTGTCATGGACCATTGTTCTCACCGGACTGCAAGGACATGAACGTTCAACATAAAACACTCTCATCAGCCCCTGCAACTGCCCATTATTCTGCCAGGTAAATCCTCAGCCATTAAAGTCAGTGTTCATCGCGAAGGTCCCCCAAGCAGGACGCTTCTTCCACTTGTCTCAGAAATTAATTTTGCAGCAGAAGGGAAGCAACACAGGTGCCAGTTTCTTGGACCCTCCCTGCTTCGTCCTCCCTCCTTGAATTCCAGAGACAGATGCAGGTGCTTCCAGCACAACTGAGTAGAAAGTGGTGCTGAATTCGGAGGACACCATCTGGTATAACAGAGTATTTTTCAGTCCGTTCAAAGTTTGGGAGGAAGACAATCTGAAAGGCAGGTGAGACCTTGAGAGAACTGAATATGGGCATAAAGCCCAGGTAAAAAAAACACATCTGTCCCAACTGGCAACATCACATGTTTTTGACAGCATCATCGGAGGGAGGTCGCACCCAGGCAGTACCTCTCCACTACTGCGAGTGGCCCCCAGTTTCCGGTTTCCTCACTGCTCATTCCCCGGAACACCTGATTGCGGAATTACCAACCTGTCTTTCTTATCTTTAGGGACAACTGTGACTTGGATGTTGTCGCCCCCTTTGCCCATGCTCTCTCCTGCTGCATCCTTGCAAAACAGGGTGAAAGAGGCTGTCTGTTTCTCCCGGGCTCTGTGGAGATCTGTGAAAGACAAACACTCAGTCCTCATCTCAAAGGCCACTTGCAGCAGCGACAGCCCCAGATCAGACACCATCTTGCTTTTTCTCTTGAGAACAAAAGATTGTGCTTCCCGTTTCCCATAAAAGATGGTGCTTTCCTGTTTCCTGCTCCTTTCTCTGCCTACTCTGGCTCCGGGGCACACCTCTTGGGGAGGCCTTTCTGGTGAGCCTGGCTTTCTCAGTCAGCGGATGCTCGTGGATCGCATGGACTTCTGGATCTTAACTTCAGCCCTAAGGAAGCTTTGGAAGTACTCAGGGTTGGCTATAGGCATTCAGAGAAGAAACCGCTAGACCTTGTGAGAGACTGGCAACCCTAAAACTCTGCAGATCCTGCTGGAATGGCCGGGGGGTATAGTCTGGATGCTTCATGTGGTGAGAACTACAGTGTAGCTTGTGCCAATATTGGGGGGGAATATTCAGTAGCTATAGCTCCTAGTGTAGCAGTAGGATGAAAGAGGTTTCTTTCCAGGCATTCATGAACTACAATGAGGTCTAAGAAGAGGCTTATAACGGGTCTAAGAATCTCCTGAAATGGCATGCCCCAATCAGTGGCTATTCCTTTGGGAGCAATGATTCTCAAAGAGACCTAGGCCCACAAAACGGTTAAGAATTCCCATGCCGGTGGTATTGGAACAAGAACAGACACATAGACCAATGGAATCGAATAGAAAATCCAGAAATAAACCCACAGATTTATGATCAACTAATCTTTGACAAAGGAGCAAAGACTACGCATTGGAGCAAAAAAAGTTTGTTCAATAAATGGTGCTGGGAAAACTGGGTCGCTACATGCAAAAGAATGAAGCTTGACTACCACCTAACACCATGCACAAAAACCAACTCAAAATGGATTAAAGAACTAGACATAAGACCTGAAACCATAAAATACATAGAAGGAAATATAGGCGAAACACTACGGGATTTGCACATCAAAGACATCTTTACAGACACATCACCCAAAGCAGTGATAGTGAAGGCAAAGATAAACAGCTGGGACTACATCAAATTAAAGAGCTTCTGCACAGCAAAAGAGACAATAACAAAAACAAAGAGAAACCCCACCGACTGGGAGAACATTTTTGCACCCAACACTAATGATAAAGGACTGATCACAAAAATCTGCAAAGAGCTGATGAGACTCAACAACAACAAAGAAAATAATCCAGTCAAAAAATGGGCAGAAGAGCTAAAAAGAAACTTCTCTGAAGAGGAAATGCAAATGGCCAACAGGCATATGAAAAAATGTTCAACATCACTTGTCATCAGGGAAATGCAAATCAAAACTACCATGAGATACCATCTTACACCAGTGAGAATGGCACATATTAAAAAAACTAGCAACAACAAATGTTGGTGACTTTGTGGAGAAAAAGGAACTCTTCTGCACTGTTGGTGGGAGTGCAAACTGCTCCAACCACTAAGGAGAGCTGTGTGGAGATTCCTCAACCTACTAAACATAGAGCTTCCATAGGATCCAGAAATTCCACTCCTAGGTATTTACCCAAATGACACAGAAACTTTAATTCCAAAGGGCACCTGCACCCCTATGTTTATAGCAGCACTGTTTACAATAGCTAAGCTTTGGAAACAACCCAAATGCCCAAAAATAGATGACTGGATCAAGAAGATGTGGTCCATATACACCATGGAATATTACTCAGCATTCAAAAAAGATAAACACATGCAATTTGCAGCAACATGGATGGCGCTGGAAGGGATCATGCTCAGCGAAATAAGCCAGAAAGAAAAAGGAAAATACCGGATGGTCTCCCTCATAGCAGGAATCTAGAAAACTTAAATAAGGGACCAGGAAAAAGAATAACTATAAGAAAGAAAATATCAAAATCAACAAACAACTATGAACCAGAGACACTCTATGGGGGGTGGGGGGCGGGGAAAGGAGGGATTGGGGTCAAAATAAGGGGGTTGTAATTGCATGGGGAATATAAAAATAACATTTAAATTTTAAAAAAATTCCCATGCCAGGACCGGGGTGAACCTAGGATACACTCTTCCCGTCAGGACTGAACTGTCAATGTATGCTTGGATAACATGCTTCCTTAAGGACCAAAACACTGGTCAAAAGGAATCATCTTTCCCTCTGCGAAGTGAAATGCCTACCCTATTCTTTTAAATGCCAGTGATAGTGAACTAAAAAGGGGATAGAAGAAAGTAATCTTATCTTCCTCGCTCCTCGAAAGCCCCTTCAGAACTTGTTATCTGTAGCCTGGGCCTGCCACGCTCCTCCCTGCGCAGGTGGGATTCGCCCTGTCCTGAAGTTTAAGCTGCCACCTGCTCTGGGCCCCATCTCTAAGATGTTCTGTCATCTTAGAGAAACAGCACAATCCTTGCGTTCCTTGGCAGTTACTATTTTTTTTTTCAAATTGGAAAAGGTTCGTGGCTCACCCCTGCACAGGACATCCACTGTATCAACCCAAACAAACCCGAAGGAAGAGGGAGGGGTCGCTATCCTAGTAGGACTAGTAAGTCTCCTCTTGGCCAACTGGCCAGCAGGGAGCTCTCCCTGGCTGGCTGAAGGCCCTAGCCAGAAGGGCCACAGATCTCACAGGCCAAGCCCCTGTGTGCTGCTCTCTCAGTGCCAGAGGGCAATGTCTGCCTACCTTCTCCTTGGAGGACACACTTGGCTGGGTCGACCACTTTGGTATTGATGGCTCCGTAAACTTCATAGCCTCGGCACCGGCCTGCTTTCTCCTGGGGGGAGAAGCATATCTTATCGTTCACTCCCGTCTGGGTGCTGTATTCAACTTTGTTCAGCTTAGTGAGCCGCTCTACCACCACCCCCTTGGTGATGAGGATCTCCAAGTCTGAGCCACTGGTCAGCAGGTGCTCGGTGAACTCCACTCCGGTCCGCATGTCTGCCAGCAGCTGCTCCAGCTGTGCCTTCTGCAGCTGCAGCGAGTTCTCCTTTTGGATCCGTATGCCTTCCAGCTGCTGCAGCAGCTTGTCCCGATGTTCTTCAATGGCCTTGATGTAGCCTTCAGAGAAGGTGCGGACGTCGGCTGCCACGGCCTCCACTCGCTCCTGGAGGGCACTGTTTGTCCCTTTGATCTGTGCCAGCGCTTCCTCGAGGGCCTCCACGTGGGGTTGGGTGTCTTTGAGGAGCTCCCGCACCGTGTCCCCGTGCTTGTGGATGACATTGCTGGTGAAGTCATAGGGGTGTTCCCGGTGCTCACCCACCACGCAGTCCCGGCACACGGGCTGGTCGCAGAGCTCACAGAACAACCTCAGCTCCTCCGCGGGGTGTGCAGGGCACAGGATGGGCTTCCCAACCCGGCTGTAGCCTTTTAAATCTTTCAGGTCCACCATGGTGTGGTAAGTCGTTTTCTTCTGCCGCCTGAGAGCAGAGGCAGAAAGAGGTTAGGGAACAATTCGAGCTGGGAGACAGTCTGGCAGTTTTAAGAGCAGGGGCTCTGAAGTCCAACAAATCTGAGGTCAGTTGCTCCCTCTAACCTCCCCCTGGCCACCCCATCTCGTGATTCCAGTTCCCCGGCTGTACATGGGGACAGCATCTTCCGGACAGGGCCATGGTACAGCGTCCGTGACAGTGGACGAGGGCTTGCTGGCTTGGGACATGGCTCCATTACAGTGTAGCAGCTAGACCCTAGAACTCTCCCCAAAGAGTGAATTTGGTAAGTTTAGACAAGACCCACAGCCTACTCTTACAAGCTAGAGGAAAGAGCATGGTGCAAGCCAGCACTGAAGAGAGAGAAACGGTGCCGGGTGGCGTGGTACCAAGCCCAGGCAGTTGAAGAGCAGTTAGCTGGCCGCAGCAGGAACTCTTCCCCAGCGTTCCTCTAAGATTCTGGCAAAGCATTTCCCGCCCCTGATGCCTCTGTTACCCAAAGCGGCAAGCTAGAATTTTCTTCAATGAGAATTATACACATTTTAGAAGTATTTCACTGAAGTCAAGTCAGTGAATCAAAGCTTTTTTTAATTCTACTTTCTGTGTACCTCAAGAGATTCAGGGGGATCCCTAAGAAACCACAGTGACTAGTCAAGAGTCACTGTTAGCACTGCAGCAACTTGAAACTTATGTGTCTGTTCTGGCACCAGAAGAGTGGCTGTAGAGAAAACAGGGTCAGCTGTTTAGCTCGCAGCAAGGCAGACAGACTATCATATAATCACAAGTTAAAAATAGAAAGACTGAAGACTTCTCATTTGCTCTGTTGGTGAGGTCAGACAAGACATGGAAGGCAGAATTTTAAAAGTATTTTAAACTAATCCTAAAACTCTGCTCATTTTATATCTGATGACCTGGCGTAAGAGGGTAGAGACGAGGCAGAGATCTGTTCATGTGACAAGCTGCCCATCAAATACCATAAAAGACATAACCTGAACCCCTGTTAGCACCAACCAGCCTACCTTTCCAACTCCAGAGGAACTCTAGAGGTTTGCACAAGGCAAAGTCTGGGGTGGGGTCCCCCCAGTCCCCAGTCACTACTCTGCATAGAGAAGGCAGCAGCCATTAATAGAAAGAGCACAGAATGTAATCAGAAGATCTGGATTTTAAATTGTTTTGTTACATACTTACCAGCTGTGGGACCTAGGCAAATCATACGATATTGCTGAACTTCAGCTTCCTCAAATAAACAGGGGTGAACACTGCCTACTTTTGTGAGTTGCAAGGATCAAATGAGATCAAGGGCAGAGGCTATACTACTGAATTCATTCTCCTGTTTCTCCAGCACCCAGTACAATTATCCACTATCCAAGTGGACTGACGATCCAAAGAAAATGTGAATGTGCTTTGTAAATGGAAAGGGACTATGCAAACCTTTGTTGCTATAACCAGGGGTATTATAAAAGCCTCCAGGGCTTCACCACTGGTCTGAGTATTTGCTCTCCCATCGTCTATTAATCGTTGACCTTCCGTGGCATTTGAAAAAGCTTTCCTTTCCATCTGCTCGCCAAGGGCTTTCTGTCTTGACACCTCTCTGTATTCCACTCTTAAGCCACACCAGGTGGGGTAACCCGTCTTTACCTATGAGCCTGGCAGCAGAAGTGGCAGAGATTGGCTTTGCAGGTCTGACACCTCTTCTCCACCTCCCTGTCGCTGCACAGGTCACACACCAGGCCCTGGCCTTCCCCACGCAGGCTCTCCAGCATCACGTCATTCATGGCCAGGTGGTCTATGGTTAGAGCCTTCACGCCACCCTTGGGCAGGTCCACCTGAGCGTCACATACCGGACAGAGGATGCCGATCTGCGGCTTTAGCGCGGGTGGCTTGACGTCCTGGAATATGGACCCCTCCGAGCTCGTGTCCGAGTCTCCCCCTCGCATGTCCACTACCGAGAAGGGCTCCAGCTGCTCCAGACACTTGGTGCACACTGTGTGCAAGCAGGGCAAGAGCCTGGGGGCCTTGAAAAGCCCCATGCACAAAGGGCAGTGAGTCTTGCCCGAGCTCCCGGGTGCGGTCCCACCGGGGAGCTTGCCCATGAAGGCCAGCAGCGGCTTCCTGCTCTCGGACATGCTCCCCGCGCTCGCGCCCAGTATCAGAAAAGGCCAGGGGTGCTTCTATAATGAAGTAGCCGTGATTAAGCCCCCCCGGAGAGGACGTTTCCAGAGCTCGAGCAGAGACCATGGGAGCTCTCTCGCGGGCAAATCAAAGGGCGAAAGGGAACCACCCGCAGATCTGCTCAGGAGGGTCCCCTCTCCGCGGCTTCCCATACCAGACGCGCACGCCCCCCCGTCCCCCCAGGCCCCCAGCCCCCCGCCCCGGGCACGGCCAGGTCTCGGGCCAGCCCCGCGCCCCCACGACGACCCCCTCCCGCCGCCCCCGGCCCCGCGCCCGACGCGCGACAAGTGCCGCCCCCGCCCCGCGTGACGAGGCCGGGCCGCCCGCGCCTCCCTCCGCCCGGCCCGCCGCGCCAGGGGGCTCCGCGCCGGCCGCGCCCGCCCCGGCCCCGGCGCGCGTCACTCAGCGAGTCCAATCACCGTCGAGGGGGCCGGGCGCCGCCGCCCTGCCGAGGGCCGGCCCGGGCAGCCTCTGCGCTCCGCAAGCCCCACATCTTCGCCCGCCCGCATGGCCCGGAGGGGCGGGCTCGCCGGGGCCTGGAGGCGGGGCGGCCGCGCGGCGGGAGGCGCACCAGGCCGCGAGCCAGCGGCGCGGGCCGGCGGCGTCACCCTACGCGGGGCCGCCCCTTTCGTCGTCGCTGTGGCGACCTGCCCCCGGCCGCAGGGACGGCCCCCGGCGCTCTCGGATTGGCCACGGGAGCCCACATCGGGCTCTCCCATTGGCGGGTGGTGCCGTCAGTCGGCCCCGCGCGGCGCAGAGCTTGCTGGGAGTTGTAGGAAGCGGCGTTTTCCGGGGCCGGAGGCCTCCGGCGGGCGGCGCGTCACTGCGCGCGCCGGCGACGGGCGGCCCTTGGGTCTCTCCAGTTTATTTCAGTTTCCGAGTTGCCCGGGCTCGGCTTGCGGGGGGCCGGCGCTCGCTCGGGGGCTCATCACCAGACCCGTCACTGGCTTTTCCCGGGGGCTAGGGGTCCCCCAGGGCCGGGTGCTGGGACCCTGGCATTGGCCTGGGCCCAGCCGCCTGGGGTGGGGGTGGTCGTGGAGGGGCCTGGGAGAGGGGGGCTGGGCCCCTGCTTCTGGGGGTGCAGAAGTCGTGGCCTCACCCCTCTGGGCCGTGCGTGCCGGCGACCTAAGGGTTAACCGTGTCACCCAGAACGCTGCGCTCAGGTGCAGCAGCAAAGGAGCGAGTGCGCCCCGCTGAGTTTATCAGCCCATTGGGGGGCCGCAGCTGTCACAATGGGGTGGTGCAGGATGTCAAAGAGCCACAAACCCTTTGTGGGCTCACAAGACCATCGGGATGATGAACGCATGAGGCGGCCTTTACTTTGCGATGTGTCGCCTCCTTTAAGGTGTCCTTACCACGAGTGCCCTGGCTCGGCTCAGGGGAAAATCCAGATTCCAGAAATCCAGATTCCTGACCCGCCGCGGTCTCCAGTCCCCTAAGCGAGGCTGGTGTGCCCAGTCACCTCCTGCTGCCTTGTTCACCGCCTGCCTGGCCGGAGCAGCAGCCCTGTCGCTGATGTCTTCTTTATCCTATAGGCGCAGTGCCTGGAGCCTGAGTTTCAAAACACAATGTCAGTCTGAAAAACAAAACTTGTTGACTGCAAAATATGAAAAGGAAACTACATTAAAAAGTTGGAAAGCCTAGCCACTTCCAAAATGTAACATTTCAATGAGTCAAATGCCACTTTTTAAAAATTACATGTCATTTCCAAAACTAAGCATGCCTACAAAGGTCTGTCTTAAAAGAATTCTTACCTCCATCGCTTCAGACTCTTGTACTTCTCCACGCCTGCTTTGACTCAGAATCTGTGTTCTCCGTTCCTGTGAGCTGCAGTTAGTGGCAGAAACTGCAGTTGGGTTTGCTATATGTTGTTCCTCTGAACCTCATCCAGCCTCCCTGCTGCTTTGCCCCATCTCTTATTCATGCACTCACATTTTGCATGGCAGGTGTCCAGGCTTCTCTTGTTTAAGAAGTACTTTATCATTTCCATGTTCGTTATCCCATTTAATCTTTCAGCAACTCTGAGATAACTAAGTTTCAAAGAGGCCTGGTGATAAGCCCGAAGTAACACACCTGAGACTTGAACTCTTAGGATGCCTTGTCTAAGATTCTATCCCAGACACTTATGCCGTCTCCTTTCCACCTTTGTAAACATGTGATCCCTTATAAACTCAACAGGTAACTGCCTTTAATTGAGAAGAGCAAGACTAGCTGAAGAATTTACTTAGTTTTTACTTAAAAACCTATGATTCTTCTCTTACCCCTCCCAACTGCCTTCTGTTTCAAAGTTAACCCCTCAAGATCTTTGCTCTGTGTCTAGTGTTCCCTGCCTCCCCCAAATATTGCTGCTCCTAGATTTTTCAGTCAGTCCTTTCTTAATATTTCTTTCTTCCTTTTTTATTTTTTAAAGATTTATTTATTTATGCATACAAGAGCTGGGGTACAGGCCAGAGATGCAGGGTAGGAGGGTGAGAGGATCCACCAGAGACAGAGTTGGGAACAGAACAGGCAGATTGACTGAAATACACTGCTGAGGGGAGCAGCAGGTGAGACAGGAGAGGTCTGCTGCGCCTTGTGGGTTGCTCCCTGGCCAGGGATCAAACTCGTGCTGCAGAGGCTGCGGATTGCTTCATAGTGCGATGCTTAACCCCTTGCGCCACCAGGGAGGCCCTATTCCTTTTTTTATTTTTTTATTTTTTTGTAAAGATTTATTTATTTATACAAGCACTGGGTACAGTCAGAAGCGCGGGAGGGTGAGAGAATTCACCAGAGCCAGAGCGGGGAGCAGAGCAGGCAGAAGGACCGAAGTACACTGCTGAGGGGAGCAGCGGGCGGCAGGAGAGGTCTGCGCGCCATGTGGGACCCTCCTCCAGTGGCCGGGGAGCAGCCGGGGATCGAACCAGCGCTGCAGAGGCTGCGGGCAGCTTCGCAACCCAGCGCTCAACCGCTGCGCCACCGGGGAGGCCCCCTGTTTCTTTTTTTAAATAAAGATTTTTATTTATTTTTGTGTAGAAGAACTGGAGTGTAGGCCAGAGGTGGGTGGGGGAGAGATGAAAGAATTCACTAGAGAGAGAGAGTGGGGAGCAGAATGGGCAAATCTACTGAAATCCACTGTTGAGGGGAGCAGCAGGTGAAACAGGAGAGGTCTGCTGCGCCATGTGGGTAGCTCCCCAGCTGGGGAGCAATCAGGCTGTTGGGTGGACCACTGTGGTGGTAGCGATGGTAGCGCTGTGACTTAACCCCTAGACCACCAGGGAAGCCTCTTTCTTCTTTTTTTTAATCCAAGAGTTATAACCAAGCACTGAAGGAGGAAACAGACCCTCCTCCACCAACAGCTTTTCACTTATTGTCCTTTGTGACTCTCACTACTACATTTCTCAAGGGTAGTCTCATTTTCTTCTCAGTCATGATCACTGCCTATTGTTTCCCTCCCCTGAATAAACTCACTTTGACTCCTGTCTCTTATTGAAACTTTTCTCATAGGTCCGAAGTGACCACGTCACTGGCTCTTCCTTAACCTAGAGTCCTGTAGTATTCACCACTGTCATGAGCCTCTCCGTCCTTAAACCTTACTTCCTTATTGGCTTCTGAAATACTCGACTCTCCTGGGCAGCTTAGATGCTTCTGCTTTGCTGTTCGCCTTCCTATACTTTATTCCCCACCTTTTCTCTCCACGTTTCCTCTTTTTTTAATTTTTTTATTTATTTTTTATATCATTTTTCATTTTTGCACAATGTATGTATTTTCATCTTGGTTATAGTCCCCATACAATTCCCACCCCCCTTGTTTTGATCCTACTCCCCCCCCTCAAGTGTGCCTCTGGTTTATAGTTGCCTGTTGATTTTGATTTTTACTTTCTTGTAGTTATTCATTTTCCTGGTCCCTTATTTAAGTTTTCTAGATTCCTGCTATGAGGGAGACCATCCGGTATTTTTCTTTTTCTTTCTGGCTTATTTCGCTGAGCATGATCCCTTCCAGCTCCATCCATGTTGCTGCAAATGGCATGAGTTTATCTTTTTTGAATGCTGAGTAATATTCATTGTGTATATGTACCACATCTTCTGATCCAGTCATCTATTTGTAGCACATATTAAAAAAACTAGCAGCAACCAATGTTGGTGAGTATGTGGAGAAAAAGGAACTCTTCTGCACTGTTGGTGGGAGTGCAGACTGGTCCAACCACTATGGAGAGCTGTGTGGAGATTCCTCAACCTGCTAAAGATGGAACTTCCATACGATCCAGCAATTCCACTCCTAGGTATTTACCCAAAGGACACAATCATGAATTCAAAAGGGCAACTGCACCCCTGTGTTTATAGGAGCACAATTTACAATAGCTAAGCTATGGAAACAACCCAAATGTCCACGTTTCCTCTTATGCAGATGATCCCCAGATCTGCACTTCCGGTACTAACTTTTACCCTGCATTTTCCTGACATCTATTACAAATCACACCGAATACGTCCCCTTCACCTTACACCCCACGTGTCTTGAATGTCACTGCTGCTTTGCTCACTGGACTGTGCTCTCTGAATTTTCCTGTTTTATTCTCTTGACGATATCATCTCCTTCCCCTTCAGCTTGAAACCTTATAGTGCTCCTGGCCTCCTTCCTCTCTTTCCATCTCCAGGCAGGTACCAGTATCTTTCCATCCCAGCCGCCAATACCTGACTGCAGACTTTTAGGCTGACACAGGACTTTATCACTCTCAACTCGAGTTACAATCGTCTCTGAGTTATCCCAACACATCACCTTTTCTGGATCACTCCTACACAGTTTTTCCAAATTAATTATAAAACGGTCTAAGTCAGTCTTCATTCTAAATGTTTCAGTCATTTGTTATCTCTATAGCAAAGCTCTGGATTCCGCAGTAGGTCCACGAGACTGGCCTTTTAGTTATTCCCTCAGCATTGCCAAGCAGGCTTCTTAATCTTTGCCAATTTTGGCTGCAGAATTCTTCCACTTTTATTATTTAAACCTACCCCTACATCACACCTTCTTCATACTACCTCCTGGAAACCCCCTGTCATTTCTTTTTTTTTAAACGATATATCATTATTTTACATCCTTGTTCATTTTTTCTCAATATAGATTTCCCTCCTCAGTTGTGGTTAGCATAGTTTTCCCACCACCAAAGCACCCACAGTCCCCACCACAGCCCATGTGTTCTCCCCTATGTTTTTT